TGTGCGTGCATGAATGTGTGTGATTCTAAGATTAAGCAAATATTGCGGTAAATTCAATTTTCAATTCAACGCAATTGAATGAAAGCAAATCACTTGAGCAGCAAAAGGCGTCAACAAAATGCAATTTTCCAAACAAGTTGCTTTTGAAAGTATCTCAATTGTGGTCAGGTATTCCCAAGAAGACAAAAGTACCAAATTATTATAAATATTCTTTAATAGTACAAACCAAATAAAAAATGTTTAAGTAGTTGTAATTACATAAAGGTCTTTTACATAACTAGTGTAGAAGGCCACCTTACGCCCGATAAACTATCGATGGTTAATGTTGGGCTGACATTACTTTAACATAATCTTTAAGCAAGCCCAATGTTATTCATTTCTTGGTATATGCGTCGAATAAAGTGGACGTGTCCTGACAAAAGTTCCTTTAATATTATATAAACTGCTCCTCTCACTCTAGGCAGTGTAAAAATATTTAATTGACAGATAGATACAATCTTTTTAGTCTTTTCCTGTTTATAGGTATGTAAAAGGAGTCTGATTACGTATCGGGTAGCAGAGTTTATGATAAATAAATACTTTTTCCTCAGTATATAATGATAATCAGTTAAAAAGATATTAACAGTACGTTTTAATCCGTGTATTACAACCAAATTAAGAATAATTAAGTCAACGCCCGCATTTAAATATTTAAAAACTTAATACTTTAATAACTTATACTAACTATGTCCAATACAAATAAAGTATTTCTTCATAATTTGAATTGCAGTCAGACAATATGGGTGCTAATATTTAAGTGATGACAAATAGCAGACGCTCAAATTTTACTAAAGCTTAAACCAGTAATTGCATTGCATTTGTCCATTGGCTGAAGGAATGTTATCATGCCTGTTTACACCTGTGTGCATTGTGTGAGAGCCCAGTTATTGACGGTACTTCATAGTTGCTGCTGGCCATTATTTGCCAATTGCATCTGCCCACAAACCTTTACCCATATTTCTACCCGTTCTACGCACACAAGAGCACTGAGAAAAATTTCTGCAATTTTTAAATTTGTTTTTAAAACATATTTCGAGATTGTACGTGGTAATTTACGTCTAAAATTTTTACAGAAAAAAAATTCCAATAAAAGTATTTTGTGGGGTGTTTCTACCACAATACCTCAAGCAAATTAAAAACAATGAACAAATTAATAGCTCCGTTGTCGTTCAAAAATATTCAATCAACTTTAACTAGTTATCTAAAATAAGTTCCCTTACATCCTTTTCAAGTCACATTAGTTATTCAGTTCATATCAGTAGATATTATTAACATTTCTAGAGAAAAGCTAAAGTTTTGTGAAATAATAATAAAAGTTATGCCGACTTTAAAACATGTTAAGATGAAAAAATTTTTTTTTCTTTAGTGCTTTCTTTAAAGAGATGTACATTGCGAACATAAAGTGGTAGGCCATACGGAATAGTTTCTCTGAGTGCGCACACCGACGCATCTGGTCCATTAGACTGGTCAGTTGGCCAGTTGACATCCGTCCTCACGAGTCTCGTTTCGTCTCCTTTGGCTAATGCGGCAACTGGGCAGTCAACTGGTTCGTCCATCCTCCATCTCTCTCTGGCTTTCCGTATATACAGTATAGTTGTGTTGATTTTGCCCTTTGGCTGACACAGAATGTTGTTGACTTTGCATATTAAAACAAAATGAGAATGCAGAAGCGGGTAACAACAAAACGGGAACATTGCTAAAAGATGTGGAGGAGGGATAGCGGGGTGGCGAGGGGCTTGGGCACTTATAAGGCTACTTTTTCATTTGTGACGCCCACGTTAAACTTTAATTAATTATATACAGTTTGTTTGGCAAATTAAAAATTGTTGACTTCTACAGAATTGCAGAATGATGACGAGGACGTTCGGGGAGGAACCGGAAAGTGAGGTTGGGAGAATTTTAATTAGGCGGCCCCACACACACACACACACTGACATAGCGAAAGGTTGCGTAAGAGGCTTAAAGTGCGAAAATGGAGGAAAAGCTGCTGGCAAAATGTGAAATGCTGTCAAGTGTGACGTCCAATAAGAATTAGTGGCCAACAGGAGCATCAAAATGAAACAGTTGTTGCTGTTTTTCGTTATTGCCATTGATTGACACAAAAAGCGGCCACGCTTTCAGGTGAGTAAGTGTACGTGTGTGTATTTCACGGGTCCGCAATTTTTGGCCCGGACATGGAGAAATCGGGTGAAAGGGCCAGGGCGTTGAGAACCGGCTTTTCAGTGGCTGATGGAAGAGATGAAGATGGCGGGCAGGCTCCAACATGGCCATCCACGCTAATTGGAGCACGTCGCAGCACACTTCTGCACTGTAAGGATTCAATTGAAATAGCAAAATATTAAGATTTGCTAAATTTGGTTATCAAAACCATTTAATTATTAATTGACCATTGTTGATATTTGTATTAACATTGATTTTTTTAATAATTGGGAAATTCTTAGATTATTTATGACTTTTGCATGGAATTTTTTCTTTGTGTACACGTACACAGACGCAGGTGGAAACGAAGAAATGCACTTAATTGGAATACGACGAGGAGGGTAGCGCAAGTGCGTCGCCATTGCTCTATGATTAATTAGTGGCCACAAAAGAGGTTGCACGGGCAATGGACTTTTGGGTGTGAAGACCGAAACTGTCCCGCAAAATGATTGATACATTTTGAAAAGTTTTTCACACGTTTAAACTAAAATGGTCAGAAATCAATTTAAAATTAGTTTAGTTCATGTTTCTTTTGTGCGCCATAATTGTGGAGTTTTTTTCAACTCAAGGTTTGAATTTACTTTTGGTTCTTTTTAATGAGCACAGTATTTATTAAATGTAGCGTGAGGTACGTTCCTTATAACTCGAGCAGCTGCTGTCTGAGCTTTGCCAACGTTACCAAACAACCTCCCAAGAGAATACCGCCTCACATCCCTGTTTTCTTGACGTTTGTCGCGTTTCGTCTTACGCATAATTAGCCGGCGTAAGTAAACTCCTTAAGCTGCAGTTAAAAGCCATAAAACTTGCGCGCATCGTTTGCTGTCATGTTAAATTTATAATTTCAATTTCAAATTGTTATTACAGCCGTCGTTGTTTTGCCATCCCTCTGTCCGACCCATTATTCCATCTCAGCATCCCCTTCACGTTCCCGCCTGATTATTATTGACAGTTGCCGACGTCTTCTGTTGCTGTTGTTTTAGTTGTCTGACACACCCTATCCTGCTCATTTTAGTCTCATAAATATGCAAATTAATCATTTGCGGAAATTTACATACTTAATAAGTTGCTTTAATTAAATGTTCACGCACGCATGCCTTGCAATCTTGCCCCCGAGAATCGCATGAAATCGGCGGAATCCTTTTTTCCACATTAATGCCAGCTTGTTAATTGTGCTGCATCTAAAATCCGTCTCTATAGCTCTGGAACTCGACTCGGCTAAGGGGAAATGCGAAAAACTGGGGGCTCGGAAACTGTTTCGCATATTTCGGGACACAGTCACGTTTCATTCAAAGCAGCAGTGGCAACAACACAAAAACAGTTTATCTGCCGAGAACAGCAAACAAAAAATAAAAAACAACAAAAAAAACGATGAGCACAGAATCTTTTTTATGTGTTCAACGAAAATGTTCCCCAAAACGAAAATGAGCACCAGAACCAGAAGTATTCAAAAAAAAGGTATGCAAACTGTGAGGCGCAGCGAACATAAATTAACATTTTTATGCCCCGCTGCAATGGACCAACAAGAAGTTGGCTCACAAAATGGGGGGCGGGGCGGTGGGTGACGAGTGGGTGGCAGGAGTTGAGTCCTTTCTAATGCCCGCATTATTTACGAGGAAGCTGAGGGCCCATTCACATCTCGCCATTTCATTTCATTTCTGTTCTGTTCGTTTCGTTTCCATTTCGCTTCGTTTCCATTTCGCCTCGCCGCATTCTTTGCCATTTGCCTTTGACGCCACAAATAATTTTAATTGGTTTTCCTTTTTGGGGAGACCCTCGACCCCAGATGGTAATGACTTTATTTCTATATATTGTATATTCAGTGAGTTTGAAAACCATAAGACCATAACTTGTAATCGACAAAGTTTATGTCTTGGACAAGTAAAAATATCAACATCAGCGCACATCAACTGTGTAACACTTCAAATTTGGTCGAGCGATTCGAAAGTGAATTAAACTAAAATGTATAAATTAGCATGGTTTTGGGACTTTTTTTGCGTATTCTTATATAAAATATGAATTTTTTGGCTATACTCAATTTTTCGTTAAGTTCCTTAAAATTCAAGATACATATTCAAAAAATTTAGTTTGAAGGAATGTCTGCGGATGGTTTTTTATCTCTATCTGCAATTTTGTTTTATTTTGTCAACAAGATTTCGATTAGCTTTAAAACGTCATGGGTTAGATATCATCCAAATAGTGTAAAAAGCAACTCATCTTTTAGATATGTTCGTATGCTACACCATTTTCCATTAGATTATAAAAGTTTTGTGTGTGAGTTTGTGTTGCAGCCGCAATTGCAATTTGATTTGGCTTAATTTGCATAAATGTGTATGTGTTGTTTGTGGGTTTGCACTTGCATCTTTTGGTTTTGATGAATGGGAAAGCAGTTGATGTCAGATAGAAGGTAGGAAGACGAACTACCGCAATTATGTGAACTGGACTATTTCTCAAGTTATATAATTGGCCGAATTTCGCAATTTTATAATAACACAGTAAAATACAAATTTTTTTAATTTTTATAAATGTTTTATTTAAGCTGCTGCAACTGACATAACTAAATAATTAACCATATACAAGTCAATGTAATATACCAGAGTAAAATACGAAATTTTAGTTTCTAAAAAAAAATATTATGGTTAGAATTTCACTTTATTTTTATAAAATGACAAGCAAGTAGAATGTTTGAGTATTGAGATTACAAATATATAGTTAAGTTGATATTTTTAGCATACTTTTTGGGGCCTCATAAACTTTTCACTCACCTTCGTTGCAAGTTTCACTTTTGCTTTCGTTCGTTCTCCACCTCTCTTTCGCCCTCTCTCTTTCGCTCTCTCTATCTCTTTGGCTCTCCTTCTTTTTTTCACACAATCAGACAGCTTAGCAAGCCATTGTTTTAGTTGTAGCTGCTATACTTGTTGTTTTTTTGTCATTCCGAAGTCAGCGACACACACGCACACACACTGGCACACACACGCATAACTGTTGTGGGAAAGGGACGGCGAACGAGCGGGCGAATTCATTAGGCATGCGGGAATTTTAATTTCACTTGCTCACACGCGCGCACATATGTGGCGACATATTTCTCAAACATTTTTGTTAGTTGATGTGGTTCTTGTTGTTGTTGCTACCGTAGATGTCGTTGTTGTTGTTGCTGGGCATCCTTTGGCCTTTGTTTTGCCCGTGCGGCGCTTTTCAATTTGCATGTCGCGCTGACCTTGCCGCCAAGTGGAAATAACTGTGCCAGCACACACGCACATACACGCTGACAGCTGTCAAAAATTGCGAATGCGGATTTTACATCTGGATGGGGAGCATGTTGATGCCGACTATATGCGGCTGCCGGCAAGGATAACGGGACCAGGCCTTCAAAATCTCCATCTTTGCAAAAAAACTAATGCTCAGTCAAGTGCGTGAGTGAGACGGATGACTATCCTGCTCCCACATTCACTCGCACTCCCTTCTTCTTCTTCTTCGCTTATTTATCTTTTTGCCTTTGTTCTACGCTCTCCGTGCGTAAGTGTGTGTAATGACAAATTTCTCTCATTGTCTGTGTGCAGCAGCAGGGGCAGCAACCAATAACGACAAAAAAAAACCAGGAAGAATCGCCAAGGAGTTCTTCCAGTTTCAAAGTTTTATTTTTTATTGGTTTTTTGGAGATTGGATGCTTTTGTCCCTAGTCTTTGTTTTTGTGTTAATTTGCATAATAGACGTTGATTTAGGAAAATCACAACGAACTGGAGGATAACACGTGGCCAGAAATTCGTTTCTTTTTTCTGGCCCCGCAAATAGCAGCTGGCTTGCCGGAGATGAAAGTCGCCCGAGTTTTTCGCACAATTCACATTAATGGCACATGCAATTTTCTCCTACATTTGGCACCTAGCGCCCAGCTTTCTCCCGCTGTACCGTTATACCGTTTTCAACCGTTGTACCGACGCGTTGTGTTCACAGGACCGCACAAGCTCAGACTGAAGCGACAAAGTGAAGCTGCGTGAGCGAGCGGCTGGATGCTTTCACGCTTTATTTAAAAAAAGGTCCTTTTTGCTTTCCTTTGCTCGCGCGCACAGCTTCCTGTGCTTCCTCTTCTTCTTTGAAGTGTAGACTTTCTCGCCGCTCTCTTTTTCCGCTCTCGTCGTGCAAGCTCGTGCAGGCGCTTTCCAGCCCCCGTCGCCCACTCACCCACTCCAAAACACTAACTCACTCTCCACGCCATCATGCCAGTAAAAGCCAGCGAGAGAGCGAGGCGGCGCAACAATGAAATACTCGAAAGTCTCCAAAATGAACAGACCGTTTTAATAACTCGGCCAGTCAGAGGTGCCATATTTTGAAAGTGTTCCGAAAAAAAATTTCTCTGAAATTTCCAGAGGTTTGAAACAACCTATATAAAGGTGTCCAAAAGTAAGCTGTGAAAAATACAACGGGTTTCTTCAATAGTCCATAAACCACAGTATTCAAAGAATCATACTTTTAGGCAAAATTATAAGTAATTTCACAGCTTTCTGATAAATTACAATATAAATGTGATATAGCACTAACCTTTCGAAATACATACATATCTAGGTCCCCCATGATTAGTACATTTTAATTTCTACTTCGTTACACGTTGGTCCAGTAGATTTTTATTCGCGACAGTGAATTATATTAATTTAATGCCAACCATTTTAACCTCAATGTCATCACTTATTGTTATAGGTTATCGAGTTATGAATAGTTATATTAAGAAGAATAAAGTAATAGATAAAACAAAATCAAAACCAGAAAATTCTTATTAAAACTTACTACATACATTGGAGGGATATTGTATTTGTAATATATATAAAAAAAACTGGTAAAACGCTTAAAAATATAGGTTTAGAAAATTGTCGATTATCTTATTAAGAAATATTACTTATTAATAAATAAGAAACAAGTTTAAATCACAACTCTTTTTTGAAATGTTCAACAACTCAGCAGTTTGAGGGAGTACCCTTGTTGTCTAAAATAATTGGAGCGACAAAACATAATTTATCCGATACTTATAGTGTCATCGCTAAGGGTGACCACAAACCGTACTTAAATATAATATTTTTTAGTTCAACATAAAAAATTATACAAATTCCATTTGAGTGATATTAGCTCTTATTTACTTGGTAAGCGCAGACCCAACCATTGGCCAGTTGTTATGCCATTACCGTATTAAAATCAATAAATACATAATCCGTTTTAAGAAAGACCATATTTTGGAAAGTGTCTTAGTTTAATATGCTTTCCATTGTTTGGAAAGACTCGTAAATACATATTTTCAGTTTTTATTTGTAATGTGTTCTGTTCTTTCTATAAATTACCATCACTAAGGGTGACCGTAAACAGTTTCAAAACCTGTGCCAGAGTGGCCGCACTGCGCAATGCGCATATGACCGACCTTCGAGCCTTTACCAGCACTGCCACACCGAACGTCGGCACAGCAACCATCTTGTGAAAAGTACTACGAGTGTGGAGAGGAGTTGGTGTAGGAATTGTACAATTACTTCTGCGGCGAAAAGTTAAAAAGCATACAAAATGTCGATGATTTCCGCCCGCCTGGCGTCCTCGGTCGCCCGTAACCTGCCCAAGGCTGCCACACAGGTATTAACCACAAATTCTGACCAAAAATACGCCCGAAAAAAGTTAACAAAAAAAATGTCATACATAACCGAATCGATGGGGTATTTGCAAAAATTGGTGCTTCTTGTGCTTCAAAGTTTTCACAAACAAACAAATCATGATTTCCCGGACCCATAGGAAGTATTCAAATTGGATTTTCTTGCCTTTTAGCAGAGAATTTAGTGTTACGCAATGCGGTAAATTACAAAGCGGTAGCAGAAATTTGTGGGTTGTCAGGGTTACATAATCAGTGCGGGCTAAGAATCGGCGAAGAAAATGTATGTTATTGGTTATTAAGCAAATAATAGTGAGTGAAAAGTTCTGAATAGTTTTTGTTTTTGTGGTCAGATTACATAATTATGATGTTGTGGGAGATGCGGTGGAAGAAAAGTTTGAGGTTAGGTGCGGCTGTCAGGCAAGTGGTGAAGGTGGATAGAGGCAAAGTGTTTGAGAACCGACAGCCAGATACCCTTTAAAAAGAGTATATTATGGTTTGAGATCCAAGAATTTCCGGAGAGAGGCTTAGGATGTTGCTACCCTGCGATTATCCAATGTGACGGGCTCACCTACACCACCTTACATAATCTCGCATAATAATAGATAATCTTTTTTTCAACAGGCCGCCTGCAAAGCCGCCTATCCCGCCGCCAGTCTCGCTGCCCGCAAATTCCATGTGGCCAGCTCGCAGCGCAGCGCCGAGATCTCCAACATCCTGGAGGAGCGCATCCTTGGCGTCGCCCCCAAGGCTGATCTGGAGGAGACCGGCCGTGTGCTGAGCATTGGTGATGGTATCGCCCGTGTGTACGGTCTGAACAACATCCAGGCCGACGAGATGGTGGAGTTCTCCTCTGGCCTGAAGGGCATGGCCCTCAACTTGGAGCCCGACAACGTCGGTGTGGTGGTCTTCGGTAACGACAAGCTGATCAAGCAGGGCGATATCGTCAAGCGTACCGGTGCCATCGTGGATGTGCCCGTCGGTGATGAGCTGCTGGGTCGCGTCGTGGATGCTCTCGGCAATGCCATCGACGGCAAGGGTGCCATCAACACCAAGGACCGTTTCCGTGTGGGCATCAAGGCCCCCGGCATCATCCCCCGTGTATCCGTGAGGGAGCCCATGCAGACCGGCATTAAGGCCGTCGACTCTCTGGTGCCCATCGGCCGTGGTCAGCGTGAGCTGATCATTGGCGATCGTCAGACTGGGTAAGACTAATAAGAATTATTAAGTGAGGGCAGAGGTGTCCTTCCGGGGCTCTTCATAGCTGAAGCAAAAATGTAGCCATCAAAATAAGTTGTCAATTCAGGTGTCAAATATAATCATTTAACGTAGCCTTTTAAAGGTCAACCTAACTTCAAATTAGGTAATAGGTATTATAAAGACCTAAAAAGAATTAAAACATTGAAATCATTTGATTAAAATTAAAAACAATTGATTTTACAAGGCATCATCATGCATTATTGGAATCCTAGTAAAAATCGTGAGATATATGATAAGATAATTGTAGTTAAAGAAAACAACAATTAACAAATCGCATTAATACACAGGCTTTTAACTTATTTCCACATTTGAATTGCAACTGGAGGCCAAAGGTTTAAATATTTGCTGTTTGTTTTTGGGTTATGTTGGTGCAAAGGAACGCTTTTTTATAATCTTAAAACTTTAATTAAATGAGAACAAAAAACTAGTGATACTAAAAAAAATTTAATTCTTTAAGTGTATCGATGGAAATTGATTATTAAAATCAAATATTTTAAGTTAAGTACATTTTTCAACCATAGCTAACCAAACAATTTTTTATTTAATTTGCAGTAAGACTGCTCTGGCCATTGATACCATCATCAACCAGAAGCGCTTCAACGAGGCCCAGGACGAATCTAAGAAGCTGTTCTGCATCTACGTCGCCATTGGCCAGAAGCGTTCCACCGTCGCCCAGATCGTGAAGCGTCTGACCGACTCCGGCGCCATGGGCTACACCGTGATTGTGTCGGCCACCGCCTCCGATGCTGCTCCCCTGCAGTACCTGGCTCCCTACTCCGGCTGCGCCATGGGAGAGTACTTCCGCGACAAGGGCAAGCACGCCCTGATCATCTACGATGATTTGTCCAAGCAGGCTGTGGCCTACCGTCAGATGTCCCTGCTGCTGCGTCGTCCCCCAGGTCGTGAGGCCTACCCCGGCGATGTGTTCTACCTGCATTCGCGTCTGCTGGAGCGTGCCGCCAAGATGTCCCCTGCCATGGGAGGTGGCTCCCTGACTGCCCTGCCCGTGATCGAGACCCAGGCTGGAGATGTGTCCGCCTACATTCCAACCAACGTCATCTCGATTACCGATGGACAGATCTTCTTGGAGACCGAGTTGTTCTACAAGGGTATCCGCCCTGCCATTAACGTCGGTCTGTCCGTGTCCCGTGTGGGTTCTGCTGCCCAGACCAAGGCCATGAAGCAGGTGGCCGGTTCCATGAAGCTGGAGTTGGCCCAGTACCGTGAGGTCGCCGCTTTCGCCCAGTTCGGTTCCGATCTGGATGCCGCCACCCAGCAGCTGCTGAACCGTGGTGTGCGCCTTACTGAGCTGCTCAAGCAGGGTCAGTACGTGCCCATGGCCATTGAGGATCAGGTGCGTATCTAGAGAGAGTTCGGGTAAATGTCGGATATCCAAATGACTCATTTAAAAATATATTTAACAAAATAACGGATACCGTCTAACAGTTCACTTAAAAAATGGACAACGGATATCGATATTTACGAAATCCCTGTTCAGCAACCAGATTCTAATAATTCACTCGATTTCCCGACCAAATATAATAATTCTCCAAATAATAAGTTACCGGATATCGGACATTTACCTAATCCCTAATTAGCGACAAAATTTTAATACTTTACTCCATTTTCCAGGTTGCTGTCATCTACTGCGGTGTGCGCGGTCATCTGGATAAGATGGATCCCGCTAAGATCACCAAGTTCGAGAAGGAGTTCTTGCAGCACATCAAGACCTCCGAGCAGGCTCTGCTCGACACCATCGCCAAGGAGGGTGGTATCTCTGAGGCGTCCGATGCCAAGCTGAAGGATGTTGTTTCCAAGTTCTTGTCCACCTTCCAGGGTTAAGCATCAGCAGAGCGAAGAAAAGAAGAGCAGCCACGTGCAATTAACATCGTAGATGGTTCGAATAATGCTGCCATCTTTGCGCGTCAACAACAAGAAAAAAATAACAACCTAAAGCTTAAGATAAACAGAAATAATAACTAAAAAAAACACAAGAGAAAACTCCTTTACACATTCATGTTTTCCTACGTATCCCGCCGGGAATGCTTCTGTTCCGTTGTCCTGCACCGTCATGCCGCAAAATCTTGGGAGAGAGAGAGCAGGCGCAGGATGCGGACTGGATAGTGTTCCCTAGCCAGATGCAGTTTCGAATTTCAGCGAAATATCCGTGCGGCTCGTCCAACCTCCTAAACGATAGATAATCCCCCGTTGTTCTTCTACCTTTAAAGTGTAATCAATATTTGAAATATTGTAATCGAGAATAGTCGAAATACTGTCTGAGGATGATTGTGAAACGATGATGAATTAAAAACGATACTAAATTATACTCTACACGACCCAGGTGTTTATCTTTTGCTGGGCAATATATTAAAATACTTTTTGGTGATAAATTAACTTTGTTAATACCTATCTCAATTTTAATTTAAAATTTAAGTATTGATGTTCGGCAATAATTTGTATTTAAAAAAACGTTACCTAGACATTCTTTTTTAAACTTCCTATAGTGTCGGATCAACAAGTAATTGTATTGTTGCCTGTTATTGTTACTATACCACCAAAAGAGGAATATTCGAGTCGAGTTTTAAGAGTATTTCATTTCGCTCTGGTTCTTTAATTAAATGGGAATTAATTTTATAGTGAATGAATCTTAAGGATTCTCAACTGCATAACTGTCTTGCTACATAATCTGCCTTTCTCGATATGATTGGTGGATTATGTCATTTGAAGGACCTTTATAATACTTTATTGGTCAATTCTCCCTGCGGTTTTCGTTATTTTTCTTAGGAACATTTCCCGAATATTTTGGTAGTCAGTAATTAAGAACTTAGGTAATCTTGGTCTTAATAAAGATGCCGTTCGAAACAGGGGTTTCCCGAACTAATCCTGGTCCTTGCGCTCAGCTGATCCGCCAGCCAACGTGCAGATGTCCTCTCACCTCGTCCTTTTGGGTAAGCGTAACCCCCTGACCCCTGTGCGAATTAGCCACCCCTCGCTGAGCTACCTGAACGACTGTCTGCACTCCAAGGAGCAGCATTAAATAAAGGACTCGGTGGTTCGGAGTGGTTCGTGCTGTGCATATTTCGTTAACAGCAAGACAGAAACGAAAGCAAGAAGTCCCAAAAAAAACAGCGGCCAAAGACCCAAAAACTGTAAACCCGATTTATACGGCCTGAAGTTTTTATGACGCCCATTGCCTCTGGCAACCAACATAAAATATGCCAAAAGAGTGGAGCAAGGGGGCGGAAAGAAAAATTACTTTCTTTTTATTACATTTGTTTGACCGTAAACCAAAATTAATGAGAGCCATAAAACCGTCAAACTTAAATTTCGAACAGGCGCACAGCAAACTCAGCAGGCCAAATACAGTGGACGCTCTAAAAACCAAACATTCTATAGTATGAAGTATAAATTATAAATAAATATAAAATGTTAATCAATTTATACTTAGCTCTCCATTATTGTTTATGATCTTGCTGAAGTCATAATTAACATTAATGGAAATATTTCGATATAGTCGATCGATTAAGATAAAATAGCCTTTTGAAATCGTAGGGCCATTTTTATATTGACTTTTTACTTAAACGGGAAAAAACTATAAATTATAAATAGGTTTTGCATATACTTGTTATTGTGTTATGCTTACTTAAAAATAAAGATACATATTTGGTAAGTTCCAAATGAATCAAAGAATGAAAAATTGAGGGATTTGATTTTTTGGTGTTGCTGTTCAACAAAACTACATTGGAAATGATTAACCACAATAAATAAGAAATTCCCAATCATAAAATCTCTTGGTTTTTATTATACTTTGTATCTAGTTAGCACTGTACAAGAGGAAAGTGAGACAGTCACCCTCACACACGAAAATCATACAGCGACACACACACACACCCAGCCATGTGCGAGCAATGTGCTCGGCAATTACTGTTGCCCATGTTCTATGGAACAGGGAACACAAAACCCAAAAGAGGAGCGTGAAAATGGGAAAGAGGGAGAGACGTGGAGAAGTAACTGACCTGCGATCGGGAAGGTGACCTTCCCTCAGGTATAATCGTGTATTTTTTTGTGTATTCAGGATTGATAAGAATGCAGGACAAAAGGAACTCTGTCCTTGGCAAAAGGTCTTTATATACATTTCTGACTGCCTCGTCCCCGATTTTTTCGGGGTGTGGAATATTTCTCACACTCATCAGCTGTCAAAAACAAAATAGTAAACTAATTAATATAAATACATCAAAAATCAATAAAGAATCTTAAAAGAAAAAGCTCTTTGTTCCAGAAACTATTTTAAATTGATAAATCTTATAAACTAGCAATTTAGTTTCCCAAGAATTTGTTTAAAATCCGTTAATGATGTCAAAACGATTTAAGTCCAATCTCGAAATGATAAAAACTCAGATAACATAAAATTACACAAAACTTTATTGTTCAGAGACACTTTCAGAAACATCAAGGTTGTATAAAACGCTTCTTATATTTGCTTATTTGTAAGTAAACAATAAAACTAGTTTAGGGGGCTTTTTTGTATGAATGTGTGAAATACATAATATAAATTACAAATAGTCTAAGTCTCATTTAATTTTTGGGAGGTATGGGATTATTTTTGCACAAGTTTTTTTGACTTATTCTTAATGCACAGAACGAACAATTTCCCATCGATTCTAAAAACTAAATACAAGTGCTGATTAAATATAGTTCTTGGAGAGACAACGCCGATGTGTTCGGCCAGCAAATGAACTCGTTGCCCACTCTCTCTCGGTGTCCACCGCTCCGCCGCTCGTTCCCCACTGAGAAGATGACCCAGCGGGAGGAGCATGCGGGCTCCAGTTTACTCCAGTCAACTCACTCCCAACAGCCGGCTCGCGGGCAACTTGTGCTTCAGAGGCAAAGGTGCCGGAACCAGCTCTTGGAAGCGGGCGAAAACGGCTTAAGGGACTCCAGCACGTGTGGATTGCTTATGATGATCATGATAATGATGACGGGTAAGATATACATATACGGGTTTATACGCATTTTGCAACGAACACAAAACGAACAAAATATTGAATACGCTACAAATTTAAAAAATGAAAACAAATTAAACTAAACTATGTAATTCATTGTCCTGCTTTCCGCCCAACTACTTCCTTAGGCTCTGGCCCACAATGGAGTCCATCAGGGCCCCGCTCAGCTCCGTTCGCAGCGCAATCTTCTGGAATTTGCTGCCCTGGTACTTGTTGTAGACGGCCTTCAGCTTGGCCTGGGGAGCATCGCGGGCCAGCTTCGCAATCAGCCGTGTAATGGGTCGCAAGTGGGCGGCCGAATACCGCGAGTAGAAGGTCAATGTGGGGGTCCAGTGGCGGTCGTTGAATCCTGTGCCAGCCCGGTAGTTGCCATTAAGCAAGTGCAGCGAAAGAAACAGCGACGCTGCTGCAATCTGCAAGGGAAAATTACAATTTAGTTGGTTTTTTTAAGCTTTAATATATGAATATCAGTAGGAATAAAAGGTTCGTACAAATTTAGGATGGTCGATTTAGTTGCTTAAATGGTTGTGTAAAGGTCTTCAAGCTCCCTTAACAAAATATTAACTTATTTAATATTTTGGTATAGTATTCTTCCGACAATATCGTTTCCCTGTGCCTGTCTTAATAATTTGTCAGAACCCACCTCTGAAGGCCTGTAGGTGGCCATATCGTAATCCACGGAAGCTAGCTCAATGAAGTATTTGGACATGGCATGGTGCTCATCCTCTGCGCCGGCAGCCTTCGAGTAACGCCGCAAGAAGTGAATCGGCAGCGGACGCGAGAGATTGCAGTCGATGGCTTTGAAGATTTGCAGCTCCATTTGACGGATCTGCCTGGCAGTGTATGTATCATCCGTGATGAAAACAAAATCCCCGATGGCTGGCGGAAAAAGCTCCTCGTACTTGGTAGCTATAAAGAGAGCAGTAACCCCCACCAATTGCAAATAGGTTCGCTTGGTATCCTTAACCACTTGTAGATAACGATCGATAATGGCAACCGCCAGTTGGAAAGTTTCTGCAGCCAGATGAAACTGCAGGTGGACCTCGTTGATCCAATCGATCAGGACGGATCGCATCTTGTGGGACACCTCCTTCTGCCCGGCCAGGTGATCCTTGTGAATTGGTTGTTGCAGTTCCACCTGGTACAAGTAGTCGTAGATGTCATTTACATATTCGGAGACCAGTACCAGGTTCTCCTTGTCATTGGCATCAATGTCCTCGATTCCAGCCAAGCGCTTGCTGGAAAGGGACATGGTGGTTGGCATCGTGGAGGTTGTTAAAGCGATGTTGCTGCTGGCTTTAATAAGGGGCATCCTGGTCACTTCCTTCTTGGCTTCCGGGATTTCCTTCTTGACATCTTGCACTTCCTTCTTGGTCTCTGCCTCTTTACGAGCCACAGCCAGTGGTTCCCGACGAATCCCAGAAACCCCCATCACGGGTTTGGCCAGTGCAGCTCTCAACTTGGTCAGTGATTTCTTGGACAGATTGCTGTCCTCGCGTTTCAAGGCGGGCTCGGTAACATTCTCGTTGGAATTTGACTTTGCTGTTACTTTAAAAATATTGAGTATGATTTAAATAATTATTTAAAATGGGTACTTTAAAAAGTAAAGTAAAGAAAATGGAAAGCGGTCCAGTATCGCCACAAATTGTTACGACAAAGGTTCTTGGTTAGTATTAATAACATTTATTGTTTTAAAGTATAAGAGGTTTTAAATAAATGTCACTCATAGTAATACAAAAATAATCAAAAATTGCATTCTTTTTTAGATACCAACAAAAGATAAGTTTATATAATGCAGTATTTTTAGGTTTGTATGATTTACTTACGCTTAGTGGGTTCCACAGTCGTCTTGGTCGGAATGCGATTGCGCACCGAATTCGAGCGCAAAAAGGCCGACACGCCCCCTTCGTTGGCCTTGGGCGGTACGGCGGTATTGCCATTGGTGGTCGTTCCCAGTACCTGTTTCTTCCAGTGGGTATCCACTCGAGCCTTGGCATTGCGCAGGGCATCTGTTAGCTTGAGATCCTTGGAGCTATGACAAATAATACAACTATGATGCAGAAAGTGGGGCATCGAAAAGTAGTTGTACTCACTCTTTCTGTGCCGCATCTTTCGCAGCAATGGGGCGACTTAAGCCGCGATTTTGCAAATCTCCCAAAGCAGCGCGTTTTGTTGTTGCCTCCTGCGAAGGCACCGTCAATTTCTTCAGTTGCACTTGCTTGAAATTCTCCGAAGAGTTCTGAAAAAATTCAGGAATCAGATAAATAAATGAAGTATTAAGATTTCACACTAAAAGTAGCAAATTAAATAAAACAAACTTAATTTTAAAACCCTATCACAATTTATTCTGAAAGTACTTTGTAAATGAGAAAATGTGCCTATAGAATTTTTAACAAATCCTGAAAAGTAGAAATGTAAAAATAATTATAAAATTATTTTTATGAATTTGTGTTTTAGTTTTTTTATGGAAACAGGCTTTTATTTTATAAGTTAAATTACCACACAACCGCAATAAATTTTATTTTTGTTCATCAGTATTATAATTCATCTTTAACAATCATGAAATGCAGTTTTTTCAAGACGGCCATTTTCTGAAAAGAACCGCAAGGTTTATCATCGTTTAATCTCCTTTTTGATTTATACAAAAACAAGGAGTGGAGCGTAATAGTTATCGGTACAAGTACCGAAACTAGAAAATTGCGCCAAAACGTGACTCAAGGAATTACAGCAACGACAATAAAGGTATAGGACAAACGGCACTTTTTCACCCCCTCTTTTAAACGCTCTCATTGCACTCTCTTTTTTCTCTCCCCTTCTCATCACTATACTTGCCCACGCTGCAATGGCGTCGCGATGAACCCGCTACTTTCAGAATTTCTCTATGATCTTTGCTACCGATTCTGGTTAATATTATAATTTCAGGAAAACTCACCTCGTCGCCGCGCATTTTCAGTGTCGTGCCCACCATTTTGATTATATATTTGTATTAATACAGACACAAGTAACACTTAAAGAGCAGACGCTTGACTATTTGATCGTTTTCTGTGTTTTTTGATCGCGTTTCTATTGAACTGAACGCGCGTTTTAGTTTAGAAATATAATTTTTTGTCCGAATACTTGAATCGATAAAGGTAATATACAATTTGTAAGTCGAATGTTGCTGAGATTTATGTAAATTCTCCGAAAACCTAGTCGAGCTCTGCGCGAAGAGAAGCCAAGCTGCAGTTTGAATTTGAAAATGCGAAGCTAGATTGACCTAATGTGACCGTAGCGCAATATTTTAAAAATAACAGAGTGCATGCGATCGATAACCAAAAATTATTCGTGGTGGTATATACTGCTTCTATTATGGTATTGTTAATATATTTCCTTTTTTACGGTCTATTAAATTGTTGTTACTGGTTTAGATTTAAGTTGATTGCAAAAGTATTTGCTGAATTGAAAATCAGTGCAAATTAATGTTAGGACGAGAAATTGGAATTTCGTTGTTATTATAATTTATATATTTTGTAATAAAAAGCTACCTTTCAGTGGTATTAATCTCGTTATATTTAAATTAATACTTACTTTCAAGATGTAAAAACTTAGGTAAATAAAATATGTATGTAAAAAATAAAAAACAAAAATACCGGTTTATACAGTGTGTCCACATCTAAACTTCTTAGTTTAATAAATACCACACTTGAATAATGGCCTATCGATAACATAAAATCTAAGCAATGATGCCCATCACATTCAAATTCAAATTTAAAATCTTTAACTTTTTTTGATAAACGTTTGTTTTTCAAATACGTTTTAAATAGAGGCCCATGAAATGTGAAAAAATGTTGATCATCATTCTGTATTCTTAAGGTTTTAGATTTGTATTGTTTTTCCATTTAAATTAAGTCTTTGCTTTGACTACCACTCGTCACTTTGAGCATTGCAACAGCCATTGATTGCATCAATTAAAAGTTGATCACTTCAATTGGCTGTGTTCGGTTTGTTTTTGCGCCTCCCTGATTTGCATTCGCTGATTTAAGATTTCCTGCTGCCACAGGCCGCAGAACATCGAAACTGCTCGGCGGAAATGCAGCATAATTCTTGCTTCTCCGCAGCCTTTTTTGCTGATGATCAGTGTCAAGTTTTCGTCTGCTCCATCATTTTCAAGCACTTGACCACAAAACAATCGCCTCACATTTTTGCTTCTGTTTTTTTTATTCGCAAACTCTTTTTTTTTGTTTGGCCCTTTGCTCTGTCTTAACGGTTGGAGCATTCTTCTTCTCTTCTTCCGGCGCTCTGGCTCATTAGCATATATTTATGAGTCTGTTTGTGCTAAGTTTTGAGTTTGCTTTGCGAACTCCAGCCGAAAACGAAAAGCCGAACGAGAACGGAGCGCCAACCGCCGATCGTGTGTTCAAGTTTTCCGTGATTTTCACATTTCATTCGCAAAAGTGCCGCCGTCGCGAGTGGTTGCTTCGCCTCGCTCTCTCCGTCTCTTTCAGCCTCTCTGCAGCCGTCTCTTTCGCCCCCTCCCGAAAAAAGTCCTTCGTTCGATACGACGCGCATTGACCTCCACTAAATTATTATAAATACCCCCAAAAACGCTCAATTTTTGAAGTGATTTACCGATTTGCCTGACTCTGCGAGCGTTAAAAAATAAAATTCATTTCGGCTATGGACATAAACCAGAAGATCGTTATGCTCCAGAGACGATGATCTATATGGGTGCCGTGTGTGTTTGTTGCTGGCTGCTTAATTGTGCGCTGGCGTTTAAATAAAAATAAGTGCGTTTAAATGCGAAAACAAAAGACTGGCTTTATATATTGGCAATCCAGAACGGTCGTCAATAAAATAGTGTTTAAGCACCATTTCGGGTTATCTCGAGTGGAGGGGCGATCAATAAGGAAGAACTTAGGCAACAAACTAAAGTGGTAAAGTAGAAGTGAAAAGCAAATAAGATAGAGTGCGAAAAGTGGCCCACAACAAATGACTCGTAATGCAATGCCTGGGCAATTAATTAGTGCATAAACAGTTAAATTAACCGCCGTAAAAGTTGGAGCCGCACACACGCTCGTGCCTTCACTTTTCTCTCGAGAAATCGGGCTCTGAGTTTTCCACCCTCGATTTTCGCAGCTCGAAAATGTAACTCCGAGCCACAAATTATGACGCAAAGTACCGAAATCGGCCCGCAGGCAGAGGAATAATATATTTGCAATTTATGCAACATTCGTCGCATGGTTGTTGCACCAACAAAGAGCGATTAGTGTACTCGAAGCATTACAATAGCGAGCTAAAAGCCAAAAGTCCCAGAAAAACAGCGCCTCGGCCGTCATCATCAACGCATCGTTATGACTGTCTCAGCAATTGGATCTAATCGGCACCGTCGTTTGGCTTTAATTGTTTTGACCACCTTGTGGCTGCTAATCGATGCCACCCCCTCCCCCTCCCCAGCCCCCAAATCCGTCAGCATTGAGTTGCGCCGCAAGAGGAGCTTGCACTACAATGGCATTCAGGTGGGTCCCGATATCAAATCAATGAATGCGCTATGTCACAGTTTTCCCAGACCTAGGCTACAAAGTCACGATAACTCAGAAATTAAAAATTGAAATTCAATATTATTTATAACTCATTGAAGAAAAATGTCTCTAAAATTTAAAGAACTCAGGAGATGCGACTCATCATCATAATTAAAAAGACATTATTGTTCAAAGTTTATGCTTGAGGTGAGTCAGGATATCAATCAAAACTTGGTCATGGCCTCATTGTCCAGTGATATTATACAGAAATGTAAGATTGGGAGTAAATGAAACTAATGGAATATCTTTGTATATGTTCTTCATTTACATAAAAATTTGAAAAATAAGAACTTTTTTAGTCTAAGAGCACTGATTTAGGTAATAGGGAGTTAAATTAAGCTTATCAACATTTTAATACAAAATGTGTCTGTAAAAGATACATAAGTCTTTAAAAAATAATGACAAAAGATTACACTTCTCGCGGATGAAAGTAACTTAACACCAAAACTAGACAATTAATAAATAATAAGAGTTTCCGATTAAATAAAAAATATACATACATACTTGGTATGTAATCTTTCGATTTTAATTGCTACGTTGCATATTTCCAGCTACTATAAATAAGTCGTTAATTTAATAGTCATGAAAAAGCAAAAAGTAATATTTTTCAAGTGTAAGCGTGCTTGAATGTCATACGATTAACCCATTTAAAAGAACAGGTGATCATCCATCTACGTATGCGTCAAGTGACCAATAAAGAGCATAAAAAATCGCCATATAGACAGAACATGGACACGAAAAAAAAACCAAAAACATATTGTCTGACTCAACTCGAGTTTGAAAAGCTAAGCGAAAAGTGTTGGGGAGTTCTAGGGGGAAATGGGGGGCTTGTGAGACATACTGCCACAAAGACGGGGCGTTGAATGACCCCTGCAGAAATGGGCGTTGAAAAATGTTTTGGTAATTTGAGAGCCCTAACCCAATAAACATTAGGTGCTTGCGAACAAGGCGACAACTTGTCGAATGGCACATGACTCGTGTGCTGCCCCGGTTTTCCGCGTTTCCCTCGTTTTCCCCACATTTCCCACACTCGGTATTTCTTTAATTCGAGCTTTGGCTGGCGACTCAGGGTCTCCTTCAGCTTTTTGGGAATTCATCGCACGATTACAGGGAATTGCAAACAATCTTGCAAGCAGCTGGCAATTGCAGCTGCCGCGGAATCACAAAAAATTCTCGCTCATTTTCCAGACTTTGAAAAAAAAAAAAGAGTGACAGGCGTTTCGCTCGTTCTGTTTTTAGCCAAGTTATTGACCCTCTGAAGTCACACTTTAGAATCTTTCGCTTGGTTACGCTGTTGATTACGTGATTTTCCCCCACTTTATATGTACTTTTCCATTCGCACTCCTTTACCCTCTGAAATTGGCCCGAAGACAATTTTCTGTGATATAATTTTCACGTGTTGGTTTCTACTTTTCGCCATTTTACCCTTATTTTTCTTGTACTCTTATTTTCCGCTCTTCTACTCTTTTTTTTTGCTCATTGTGCCCACGGGTCACGCAAAATTTCATCACATAATCAGTTTGGCGGCGATTACAGCGAGCATACCTGCATTTTCCGCTTTTCCCTCCTCTCTTTCGGTTTTGTCATCGGTTATTGTTGCTGTTTGTTTGGGGCTTTTCCGGCAATCGCCGACTCTTTCAGTTGATTTGGCCCTATTATGCTGTTGCCCTTGCAGCCAATTAGTGTCCATTTCATTGAATATTGTTTGCCTTTGGTAAAGTTCAGCGGAAAGATTTTCAGAAAGTGTGGTAAGACCGGAGATGGAAGAAAGGTTTAGCTCTTAAAAAAGGTTGTCTGCAAATAGTAACATTTCCATTACTGCAGACCAATTTTTAAGTTCAATTTCCACAAATATTTAATTCAATTAGTGCTTAGCACTTGGCATACTTGAAAGTATGCAATTCATTTTGTATTTTACCACCAATATATCTATCAATTTAGTTCTCTTGTAAATAAATTTGCTATTGTCTTAATAACATTTTCTTTGCATGATGTCAATAACATATCGACGGAAAACTAATCTTTATGTGTTTAATTAAAGAAAAATTAAAATCATATAAAATTTATGAACTGTAATGATAAATTATTTTAAAAATTTAAATAAAATAATTTATTTTAGTTTCTGTTGCGAAAACGAGATCGGACGACATAGAAAATAATATAATAAATAATATTTAAATTCAAGTTAATTTTAATAACTGTGGCCATGTGATAACTTAGGTATTTTATACTCAAAAATAAATATTTTTAAATATAATATTATGTTGGGTTTCTTTTTTTTCTAAGGGTAGGGTATTAAAGCAATGGTTTATTAAGAACTTTCTTTTGAATTAAAACAATTACTCAATAATATAAATATTAATTTCCTTAGAACAACTTATATTATGTCAAACCATAAAAATGCATTTTTAAATGTTTTAAAATTACCCAAACGAAAAAGTTCTTTTGCATTTCATCTGTTATTCCTGGGCGGTTGATACCCAGCCACGCCCCCTGGGCACAGCATTACAATGTTGATAATAAACATTCGCCACAACGGCAATTTGTAACACCTTCTCGCGGCTGGAGGCGGAGTTTCGATCCGAAGAGCCGAATCGCTGTTCACGCTTCGCCGGTGGCATAGCGCTTTTCCACAAAAGCCAAATAAAGCCGAATGAAAACTGTTACAACAAATTAAATTAAATAATCGGGCAAACAGGCGCACGCACCACAAAATCGGACAAGATATATGGCGAATGTATAACGAGCCAACTCGTATATATAAACAAATTTTTACTGTTGCCCTAACCTTTTCATCCGATGATCTGGTGACCCCAACACAGCTGTTCGGATGGTCTAATTGGGGTTTTCTTTGAGGTACCTACAAATTTTCCATTGTCTGAGTGAAAGTATTTTTTTTTGGGGGGGGACTTGAGAAAACCCTTCTCCGTGGGTGCTCGCATCTGTTTTGGTCTGTTTAACGCTTTGCTGGCGATGTTACACTTTCCGCTTTGCATATTAAACATCATCCACTGCTCTTTCTCTTTTTTCATTCCACTGCAGCTGGACGAGAACACTCTGGTGGCCCATCTGCGGGAACATGAGCGGGCCCTGATCTTCGGCTCACGATCTCCGGAAGAGGGTAAGTGTTGGCCCCGGGCACTGGCTCGAAAAGATTCCTAACTCTGACCCATATACTATGTGAGTTGGTATAAGTAGTAGTAGTGCAGAGCATAGGAAATATAAGTACTGGTATTTGTTTTATTTTAATAGGCGGTAGTTGTTCCGATTTGGGGGCTCAAACCCAACCTTCACCAAAATTATTTACTATTATTATTTGAATCTGTAGATCAGCATCTTGCACACAAGCGAAAACAATAAAAGCGTTTCACTTTAAATAATAAAGAAGCAAAGCAATAATATTAGATTCCAGTTTTAACTATGTTTTTATTCACCTAAAATAGTTAAAGAACTTTTTTCAATTGTTGCCTTTCATTACATTTTTGTAAGATGATGCATTTATTTTTAAAATGTTTGTGAATTTATTCGCTAATATTCTTTACCGATTTTAAACAGCCTGTTAAATAGCTTATAGGTTCTGGTGCCATATGTATCATCTTAAAACATTATTATTCGAACTTTACCATTAAAATACATATTCCAAACTTTAAAATGTACTTTTGACAATATGCTTAGCAAATCATTTTTTTGAGTGGGTCAAGTCTTTTAGCCATGACCCATAACCAACTGCAACATGTCATTAAGCTGGGAGCCCAAAATTTAACAGCTGCAATCAATGAATGCAAAACTTATACGGCCAACTTGAAGGTGGTGCAGGGGGGGTGGGTTATATGAGGGGGCGTGGAAATCTGCACAGTTGTTGGCATTGATTCATGGCAGGCATTTATGTTGTTTGTTTACCTGGCAGCGCCCGAATTCAAACTCGTGCACTTGGCACAACAACAGGAGGCGCAGCAGGAGGGACTTTCCCAAGACGAGGATGGCGCACAGGTGGCGGATGAGGGGGATCCCCAAAAGCGACGTCAGCGCCGCAGTGTGCCAGCACAAGGTGAATGAAATAGCCCAAGTCCCCATACCGAATCCAAATCGAAATCCAGAGAGCAGCTCGTGCTGCTCCAGTTGCGGTCATTATGCGAACAGTTTAATTAATTCAAATGCATTCGGCAGATGACGAGCACCGCGATGCCGGCGGGGGAGGTGAATGATGAAGCGGGGGAGGCAGTGGAGGCGAGGCTGCAGCTGCAGCAGTCACCGCAGCTCATCGACGACGCCTTCATCTTCATCCGCCGCACCGAAAATGGAACGCAGTTCGTGGAGCACTCCCCGCAGCTCCTCAAGCGCCTGGAGCGATGCTTCTACCGGAGTCCAGCTGCTGCTCTCGATCTCTGCGAACCCGGCAACGTGGTAGGTGCACTCGAATTAATATTTAACTTCTAGTTCTAAGGCTGAAAATTTAAAATTTATAACGAAATAAAACCCCATTTTCTGAGGTTTCCAAGAAAAGACATTTAATTTTGGCTTTATTTCTAGTTCTAAGGCTGCAAATTTTAAATTTATAACGAAATTTATAACGAAATTAACGAAATTTTCTGAGGTTTCCAAGAAAAGGCATTCAATTTTGGAAAAAAACTTAAATCTCGGAGTCACAAACAATTTTTAAATTCTACTCATCTTAAATTGGTTAAATCCCAACTAATAAAACGTTTTGAACAACGTCAGGGTTATTATTAGTTATTTTTATTAGTTCTTAGTCCTCAACTGTTTTGGCTCATAAATCCGAATATATATTGTGCTAATTTTTTTTTTTACCTTTTAATAATAAATTTAAGAGAACAAAAATTTACTGATTATATAAATTTATATCTACTCTGTGTCCTTAAAAAATTACAATAGCATTTAAAAGTATTTACATTTTTCAGAGAAATACATTCATAATAAAACATTTTATAAATAAGTAAAAAAAGTTCATTAACATTGTTTTTTAAGAAATAAAGCACAAATAGTTTGATATTTAGAATCTATCTATAAGTGTTGTTTATTTTAGGAACAACATTTTCTAAATATTTTTGCATAATAGTTTGATAGCTTTTTTAACTCTTTCATATGCTTTGTGTTTTCTTTTGCGGCAATTGCTGTTTGTTTATCCCCGACGCTTATTAATTTTTCACGCCTCGATCCCCGCAGCGCGGCGTTTTCCAGCAGAACGGCAGTGACCTGGTGATCCATCCGCTACCCTCGCGCTTCGGAACCGGGACGCATGTGCTCTACCAAGCGAGGGTGGACAAGAAGGGGTACAGTGGGGCGTCGTCAAGGCGAACGGCGCCACCGTTAGACAGCCAGCTGCAGTTCGAGCCCGATGCGGAGGAGTTCAATGAACCGCGGAGGCGACTGCGGGCCCAGTCGCAGGCTCAGTCGCCGCTGAGATTGCGGTTCCAGCCACGCCATCACCATCATCATGACCAGCAGCGGCATCGCAGGAGGCGTCGCTACATTGGAAACCCGCCGCGCAACCGCTGGTCGGACATTCCGGAGGAGCTCTTCATCGAAACGGCCATCTTCGTGGACAGCGATCTGTATGCCCATATGCAGCGGAACTTTCCCACGAACACGGATAGCCAGGTGGTCAGTTTTCTGCTGGCCATGATCAACGGTGTCCAGTTGCTGTATCACCATCCCACGCTGGGTCGTCGGATCAACTTTGTGCTGAAGCGGCTGGAAATCTGGAAGTCGTGGGATCCTCCCGGCCTGGTTCGCTCCAGGGATGTGGAGAACTACCTGAACAGCTTCTGCAAGTGGCAGGAGAAACTGAACCCCTTCTCCGATGCCGATCCCCTGCACTACGACCACGCCTTGGTCCTGACCGGTCTCGACCTGGTCACCTATGAGAAGGGCAAGGCCAATAGCCAGGTGGTGGGCATGGCCACGGTCAAGGGAATGTGCACCTCCATTTACTCATGCACGATCAACGAGGCCAAGCACTTCGAGAGCGTCTTTGTGGTGGCCCACGAGATCGGACACAAGTAAGTGGGTCGTTGATGTGGTGGATGTCACCTAACTGCTGTTCATCTTTCAGCTTGGGAATGAGGCACGACGCCAAGGAGATCAGCTGTGATCCCACCATGCACATCATGTCCCCCAAACTGGGAAGTGGCAAGGTAACCTGGTCCAAGTGTTCGCGCACCTATCTTGAGGATTTCTTGATGTAAGTTAAAGAGAGATCTGTACTTATTTGTTAAAAATATACAGACTTTGGCGCGCAGATTCTAAATTACACCAGAAAACTAAAAAATCAGGCGTTTTTTATCATTTTGAACTTCAATAACAACCAAACGGACTATTGATTTATTTTTATACCCGTTACTCGTAGAGTAAAAGGGTATATTGTATTCGTGCAAAAGTATGTAACAGCTAGAAGGAAGCGTTTCCGACCCTATAAAGTATATATATTATTGATCAGGGTCACTAGCCGAGTCGATATAGCCATGTCCGTCTGTCCGTCTGTCCGTCTGTCCGTCTGTCTGTCCGTCTGTCTGTCCGTCTGTCTGTCCGTCCGTATGAACGCTGAGATCTCGGAAACTATAAAAGCTAGAGGATTGGCATTTTGCATGCAGATTCTAGGAGTTCCTACGCAGCGCAAGTTTGTTTCAAAAAGGTGCCACGCCCCCTTTAACGCCCACAATCGCTTATATACGATTTTAAAAATTTAAATATTTCCGAAAAGTAAAAATGCAGTTTTATTGAGTTTATCAATACCTATCGAAATGTAGAAGAAATTTTTCAAATCGGACCATTCGTTAAAAAGTTATGCGTGATCAAAGTTTCTATCTCCATCTCCCTCGCACTCCCTTTACCTGAGTAACGGGTATCTGATAGTCGGGGCACCCGACTATAGCGTTCTCTCTTGTTTATTTTTAAAACATGGCCAAGTGCAACCCTTTGTCACTTTTTGAATATTTTATTCCAAACAATATTATGAAGACCGCTGTTGGCATGTACGACTACACCATTTCCCAAACTAATGTTTTCTATAAAGAAGATTTGAAAAATTAGGTAGCTTTAAAAGTTTATTTAAAATTGATTGAACAGATACATACATACAAAAGAGCACAAGAGTTGCCCTTAGCTATATTGTTAAAAAAATGTTCAATCGTAATGTTTCTAGATTTAAATTCAGGACACCAATAAATTAGACCTTCATAGGAAATTTAAAAAGTTTAAATTGGTTTTGTATTATTTTTCAGGGATCCTCAGGCCGAGTGCCTCTTCGACCGGGACCAGTTTGTGGGTCCTTATGATCACACTGCGGGTGGCCGTCTTCCCGGCGAGCGCTTCAATGCCAACCAGCAGTGCATGCTGCGCTTCGGAAAGAACTACATGCAGGCCAGCACCCAGAGCAAGATGGAAATCTGTCGGGATCTTCACTGCCGGCAGAACGGACTGCCCTGGACTTCTCACCCGGCTCTGGAAGGCACCGAGTGTGGCGCTAATATGGTATGGCAAAATATATAATTTATTAAAAATATCAAAGTTTGGAGAAATGGTATCTTTACTTGAATTGTCTTGTTATATTTCTTTAAAACAAAGGTCAAATACATGTAGGATTGGTAAAGTTAGTTTAAGTTAATCCAGCTTTTGTATATATCTTAAATTTATTTAATGAATAGCCCTATTTATTTAATCGAAAATATTGAAATGGTATCAATCAATCGAATGGTAGACATCATTGAAGATCAGAGAGTGCAGCAAGAAAGGAGTTCAAGAAAAGCGAGAAGTCGTCTAGAGTGTGGTTGCGGTTAAGAAGTTGGTCTCATTTATCATTTGAAGTTATTATTCGTATTAATAAATCCAAATATGTACTATCCCACATACATTTATAGTTAATAATAGTGATAGGATTGGGCACTATTTTAAAAAATACAAATTATTTGTAAGAAATCTAACGGCGGTTTTTAGCTAATCACAAAAGAAAATTATTTTATTTTATTTTTAAACGGTCAATTTTTTCGCTACTGCTTAAGAAGAAAAATCAAAGACTGTCATATAAAAAGACTTGTAACTTTGTAAAAATCATACAAAAATTGGTTGACCATTCTTAAAGACTTAATGAATAGAATAAGTAATATTCCTAATTTAATAACAATGCCATAACCGAACCTTTTGGTGAATGTACTATTATTGTTCTGTGTATAGACACTTAAACATTTTATTTATCATGTTGTTTTGTTCTTTTAGTGGTGCCGCGGTGGTTCTTGTGAGGCGCGTGCCTCCAATCAGGGCAGTTATTCAGCCCTCAAATCCTGGCCACCTGAAAACGTACCGGAAGCCACCCACGAGAAGATCGTTAGACACGAGCCCAACAGGATACCCCCATTGCTGCACGACTACAATCCGCTGGGGAACGAGCTGCCCGGATCGTCCTCGAATTGGGGTGAATGGAGCGAGCCGAGTGCCTGTGAGTCCGGGTGCCTGTACGGACAATCCCGACGCCTACTGGAGGGCAGCACGGGACTTCGCACCTTCAACAGGAGCTGCTTGAACTTCCCTTCCCGTTGCATGGGCAGGGATCGGCGATTTGTGACTTGCAACTCGCCGCAGTGCCACAAGGTGCCGGTGCAGACGATAGGTGACTTTGCCAGCCAGGTGTGCATGCAGGCGAGGAAGTCGGATCCGGATCTTACCGGCGAGGGTCAGCAGCTGAGCACCACCCTGGATGCCTCCTGCAAGATCTTCTGCCGCACCAAAAGCAACGGCACCAAGTCCCGCCGGTGGACATTCCCGGATGGCACCACCTGCCAGTCGAAGCAGCACAACCCCGAGGACATTACCTACTGCATTTCCGGACGATGTGAGCGCTTCTCCTGCGATAACTCCACGTCCAACTTCTTTAAGATGGACAGCAGCTTCTGCCAGGCGAGATCAGTGCGCCCGACGAGGGATTCCTCGGATCAGGAGAGCAGGCCGCAGTCCACCAACCAGCGGTATGCGGAGCGGCAGGAGGGGATTAAGCACAAAAATCACTATGAGAATGGTAAGAACGTCTTCATTTCTTTATCCATAATTAAGCTAATGGAATGTTTGTTTTACTCGCCACAACAGAGGTGGCAAAACGACCTCCGTATGGCCAAGGCAACCACATCAGTGCAGGACCAGCGCCGTACAAGAGGAGGACCTACCCCAAGCCCTATTCCCCGGAGATATCTCGACCCCCTCCACCTGCCTCCGCCTCGCTGATTGCCCTCGATCGCAGCTCGTCCACGGAATCGGAGTGGGTGGTCCAACCGGGTTGCCACTCCAACTGCATAACCGACTCGAAGGGCGTCCAGGGAGTGACCTCCCGGCTGACTGGTGCGGAGAGCATCCAGCTCTGCTCGTACCGCATCCAACCCTGCGAGCGTTTGGAGACGGCGGCTGAGTATGCGGAGCAGACCTGCGCCCGCTATCGCCAGAAGGTGCGCGGATTGTCCGGCCATGGAGCCCAGATCTCGGCCAGCATCGATGAGCCGGACCGCAGCTGCCGCGTGGGATGCCAGGACGAGTTCATCAAGTACCGGTACTACCTGGTAAACGGCCGCAAAGGACACTTCCCACCTGGCACTCGCTGTTCGCCGGTGGGCAAACGGTATTGCGTATACGGCAGGTGTCTGGAATTCGGCGATGACGATCTGCCGCTGGAGAAGACCCACATCAGCTTGGGTCAGCTGAGGACGCGGCGGAAAAGAAGTCTGGATTCCAATGATTTACTTAACATAACGGAGATAAATGGCACTGAGAACCTTAAACTTTCTGGTGAGTAGATGGTACTTGATAGTAGTTGTGCGTAATTTTAACTATTTGATTTTAGCAGATATCTCCGCCGATAACATCGAATTCACAAAACCCATTCACGTCTCCGCAGACGAACTGAGTAGCAAAAGCCGATAGCCCAATGGCTTCCTGGCCACAATTCCCTTAGTCGATTAAGTTCTAAGTTCTAGCTTAAGTTCAAGGCTGCCCACACAACTGCCTAAGAAATATATATGAAATAATAAACGATTAAAAACATTGAATCCCATTATTTTTAGTAACCTACATGTTAAGATTTTCGAAGGACTCCATTTTGAACAATGAAATTCAAGGATAAATTTAAACAGTGTTTTAAATAGGTAAAAAAGGTTGTAAATCAGAAATCAGTCTTGCCTTTCTTGGAATCACGATTGGTTATTGAATTGAAATATTAATTTTCATTTTTTAATATTGGTTTTAAAACTGAAATTCAATTTAATAGATTATCGAAATTTGTGTTAAAAAGGTATAGAAAAATAAGAAATCTTTGAACATTAAGTAATTTTTTCCGGGACTAAAACTATAATTGGAAATTAGGTTGCGTGGACCTTATTTTATTAATATTGGCTACACTTTACCAATGTTATGAGAAGTATAAATTCAAAAATCAGAAATATATGAATTTAATTATTACCATTTTTCAGGACCACAAAGAGAAGGTTATTTAATTGCAATGCAAAAAATGTTGGCAGATAATGATAGTGAAATTGAAAATTCGTTTGCGGGGACCCGCCTTCACTTTTCAATATTGGCTACACTTCAACTACCCACCTCCCACCAGCGATTTTCCTTCGGTAATATTTGTGTAGGTTTTTTTGGCGTTCGCATGCAAACGATGGCAGCAATTACCAATACTCAATACCAAAAAGGGTAACAGCAATCAGCCAAACATTCTTACACACAAACACAATAACTTCCAGTGGTGTGCGTGAAGGAAAAAATTAGATAAAACACCTACGAATCGCTGAATATGCCACAGTCTGCAAGGAAAGCGCGCGCCGTGCAAATCGAATCGAAACGAACACAAAGCCCCAAAAACCGAAAAAAGTGGAAAAAGGAAACGCGGAAAGCAACGGAAAATTAGTCGGAAAAGTGAAGTGTGTGCAACGCCGTGATTTGTGACTTGTGTTGCTGAGTTGACTAGCTTTTTGACCAACAGCAGGGTTAATACGTATCCTTCGGGGCACATCCTGTCAAGTTCAATGCACCTGTCCAGTGTGCACTTCATGCAAACAATGCCAGCACTCCAACCTTATGAATAATGCATAGATCGTCTATAAACTCATGTGAAGCGCAATCAAAACTATTTAATTGAAGGCAAATATAACCAGACAATGAGTTTTAACCTCATACTAATTGCCAGTGACATTTTCCTAGCCCTTTGGGGAACTATTAAAATTTGGGTCAGCACATTTCGGTTTTTTTTTTTGGGGCAGGAGTGACGAAAAACCTTGGAGGCTACTCACGCAGCTCTCCTGGGAAACTGTGTCAAGTTGGTCTTAAAATTTTGACCACACGCAAGTGCGTACTACATATTGTAGTGGAATTACTCATCAATAGTGTTCAAAGAGCACGTGCTGTCTTCCTTTCTTAAGGACCTTGGGGCAGGACGCTTTGACCTGTACCTCCTTCCGAAACTTGGCCAGCTTTTGTGTGCCCATTCCGATAAAATGCCCATTCGAATTCGAAAAATCGATTCGCAGCTAATTGGTTTGTTTTCAACGCGTTCCTTTTTCTTTTTTGGGAACTAGTCTAGTGCAGCGGGCAGTGTCCTGTCATAGTGCAAAACAAGCGGAGCGCATTAAAGGTCCTGGCAAATTGTGAAATAAATAAATAAAACATAAAAAAAATCACATGTGTGGGGCTCAGCAGTGAACACTGGTTGTGACTCTCAGTACGCCCCCAAGCTCCACATTTCCCACATTTTCCCGCATTTTCCATTGAGTATGCATACACGCAAGGACCTGGCCAGTTGTCCAGTTGTTCGGTTGTCCAGTTGAGCAGTTGAGCAGCTGAGTAGGTGCAATTGTCAATTCAGACGTCGTTGAACTTGCCAGGACAACGGTTCATTCATCGCTGGGATTTCGAAATTTTCAAATCGCCTTTTTCCAGTGCCAAGTGAACAAATATAATCCATGAATCGCGACTGGGGCGATGTGAAGAGTCGAGGACTCTAGTAATTCTCTATCTTAAACCAAACGAAATATTCCCAAATATACACAACTATGCCTCCCAAGCGACGAAGGAGATTCCAGGGGCTCTACTACCATTCATCGCCGCCCAAAGGTGAGTTCGCAAGTGAATACATATTCATATTCATTCATCCTAATTGAGGGAAATTGTGGTGACAACACGCCAAAGAAAGGCGCTTTTTGTGGCCAAAATTTGCATATTGCGTGCCGTTAAGGGTGTCAGCTCAACAAGTTACAATGCCAGGGGATTCGCGGGTGCGGGCTGATTGCCACATTAAGTGGCAAACACTAATGCGCCATTTCCGTGGCACTTTCGAGCAGTTTTTATTGCCACTCAATCGTGTGTGTAAAGGGGTCTGGGAAATGGAATGGAAATTTAATGATTCACCGCGGCCAACTAATTTACATGTCACTGCTCGAAAGGAAGTCAAGAAATTCCTCAAGGTGTTAGACCCAAAATAGATTGAGAACAAAACCTTGACACATAAGCTATGTGGGTGTGAAGGCTTAAAAAAGAAATGGAAATGTACTGGCCAACAATTTCCCCATCAAGAGGAAGCATATTCCAAGGCAGTATAGATAGTTTCGTGGAGAATCCTTAAAGTATGCTAAGGAAATTGCTTAGAATTTGTTTTCCAAAGAACGCTAATAGCTGACCTCTACATTTTCACATGCAAGAAGACATTTTTGGCAGAGTAGTTGGCAGTATTTCACAAAGATTCCTAAAAGTGTGCTCTATAAATTTTTAAGAACTTTTCAGCTACTTAAAAAAACCTTGACACATTAGGTATGTGAATTTAAGGACCAACAAAGAATTTAAAATGTTCTGGGTAAGAATTTTCCCTCGAGCAGTATAGAGTATTTTGTAGAAGAAGCCATCGAAATTGTTTAGAGTTTCTCCCCAAGGAATGCTAATCAAGTTTGAATCAGGCAAATGGAAATTCTATTTCCACATATTTGTTTTGGGGTAACTCTAATGAAAATGTTGACTCTTTCGCTTTATATAACACACCATCACACACACAGCCAAGAGTTATTTATTCATGTCAGAAGTTGGAAGTGCGCGAACAGGACGCAATTATTCCTCCTTGCGACCGTTGGCTTTTGACCACAACACAGGGACCCAAATTCAACACCTTTCGACCAGGCCAAGAATTAGTTTGCCAACGCGGCTCAAGCTGGCCAGACGCAAAAAAAAAGGACAGGTATTAGAGAAGCAATCGAAAGGAAAGTAGGCAATGGATTGTTCCTTCATTATATTGTCACATATTCCTGTATACATTTTGGTAAGCCGATCAACCGAGTCTAAGCGAAGATGTTTGCTCCCATTGCAGTCATGCCGATGAATGGACAGACGGGTGGACAAAATGGACGCAAGCGCCGCGACAACGAAGGTGCGTATTTGAATGGTCGGTGTATGTCAATGTGCGGATACGTGGTGCATTTCCGCATCCAGGTGTTGGCTTTCCAATTGCTCCACTAAATGATTCAGTGGGCTGGCGGGCGATTTAATATGTTGATACGACGACCGGGGGGCGTTACCCACTTTTGCACTGCGAAAAAGTTTGGCGCCGACCTTGAAGCATTTCAAGTTGGCAAAGTTTCGCCGGCGGAAATTGTCTCAAGTTTCCACTAATGCCACTTTAAGCGAGCCGGAACATTCATTGCATTTATTTTCGTTTTAATTTAGTTTTCAGTTTCAGTTTGGCTTCTTGGCTCTTTTTCGGCAAATTGCATGCTAGCACGAACAAGGGCGAAAATGAATTGGAAATCGCAATCGGGTCGTGGGTGGGATTGGGATTGGGGCTAGGAAAATTAATTTCCACGTTTTCAATTTCCATTTCTCGGCTAATAGATTTCTCGGTGAAGTTATCCACCATTCGGATCTGGATTCATGAGAAGGACATCGGCAAGCTGACGCGCATTCTGTGGGCGGGCCAGGGCAACCGCCTCAGCCAGCAGGCCAGCAACAATGGGCGTGTGAAGCGCTTCCTGGCCGCCGTTCCCCATGTCATGGTGAGGGAGTCCTCCTCTTATCCCCTAACCTCACCCAGGTGAAAACCCCATTTCCGCTCTCCGCACAGAATGCGATCAAGGATCTGCACCAGGCCGTCATCGACAACAGCCTGGAGACCGTGCAAGCGCAGCTGGAGCCACCGGTTCCCAGTGCTTTGGTCACCTGCAAGGACGGCAACGGCCTCAATATCATCCACAAGGCCGCCGGGCTGGGACACACCAAGATCCTTGAGAACCTGGTGGGCATTTGGCCGGAGGGAGCCCACGAGACGGACATCACCGGGAAGACACCGCTCCACTGGGCCGCCAGTGCCAAGAACAACATGCGATGCTACACCCTGCTCACCCAAGCGGGCTGCGATGAGGAGGCCGTCGATTATGTGAGTGGGTGACGGAGTCCCGTCGAATTCGTAGCTATCTTTGGGGTACTATTGGGCTAACATTCCCCTAACACACTCCTAGTTCAAAGCAAAATATTTAGGCAGCCAGTAAATGAAGGTTCTTTATGGGGTAAAGCATAAAATAGTGCATACTTCTCTCCACAAAATTTTTTTTTGAAATTTAAAGATAATATATATAATATGAGGATTTCGCGAAATGGTTTTATTGCTTGCAGCAATATGTTGACTTAGAAATGATTTTTAAGTAGGTTTATTGGAAGTAAGATTGAAAATTCGCAAGGATAAAGATTTTATGAATTCAAAACAAATTATTTGTTTACGCTAGATACCAAAGTGAATTGGGATGTATAGAAGACAGTGGTCCTTTATTGGTGATGGTTTTAAAGAAAGGTTTCTTATTTTTTAAGATAACTGTCAATATTTTTTACAGAAAACTTTTAAAAAAGGTATCTGTGAAAGTAAACAGAATATTTTCAAGTCTAACTTTTACAAAATTGTGTAATTGAATTCGTTAAGGTTCGTGCGGGCTTAGATCGCTGTTTTATATTTTTTTTTTTGATGGTTGAGCAGCAATTAAAATGATTCATTGGGGCAATTTCAGAAAATGAAGACACCCTCGTACTATCGGCACAAGCCGCACGAAATCGAGCGCGCCTTCCTGGTTTATGTGCCGGATGCGCCGCGCGTCTCCCCCGACAGCGCCACCGATTGGGAGGCCTTGAGCGATGACAGTGGAGTGGACAGCGGTGCGGGCGGGGATGCCGGCTCCAAGGTGAGTGGGTTGGCCTTTCCCCTGACTGGTGCTCCTCCAACCTGTTTCCTCCTCCTCCTTCTCCTCTGCTTTCCCTCTTCCCCTTTCTCCCACCAGAAACTGGACATCAAGGTGCCGCCGTCGGTGAATGGCCGCAAATCGCTGGACGACAGCCTTGAGAACACCTCGGAGCTGGACACCAACGATGGGTGAGTGGGTAGCTGGTTTGTGGGTGCGTTGGTGGGTTGGTGGGTCCTAGACCCCAGATTTGGCTTAAATTTGGCTGCCTTTTGCTGGCGAAATGCAATCGCTCCCTTTTGATTTGTGTTTGGTGTGTTTTTTGGGGCATGGCTTTGAGAGAGAATTTTTTGCATTTTGAAATCGCAGTACGAGTGCCAATGACGACGATGAGGATCTGTCCAAGGCGGATGCGGAGCCGGAAGCGGAAGCCGGCTCGCCATTGCAGCGCCGACCGGAAACGCCGGCCACCTTCAACACGATCAATGGCGATGGCGATGGCGAAGTCGATGGCGATGACAGCGAGCCCGAGGTAAGTCCGCCGCCTTTTCATTTTATTTTCCCTATTTTCTTTGGCTTTCGATGGTTAGCTGCTTGCTTGCACGTTTCGAAAATGGCTTTCGGTGTTTTGCAATTTAATTAGCTTCTGGGGACGCGGAAAGTCTGTGAAAGTAAGCCATTGTCGGCTCTCGCTTTTCCCTTTCACCTTTCTCTCGGCACTCTGCGCTTTTTGTTTAGAGTCCCTTTCCCCATTCCGCTGTACATAGACTGAGATCGAAGGACCGTAGTGGGAAACTGTGTAATCACTTGGAAAGCAAATCAGTCGACAATTGTTTACTTTTACAGAATATTGCAAGAGCTGTAAGCGCGGATGGAGGCGGAGAGGCTGAAGGAGACGGAGTTGGGCAGGATGGAGGAGGAGATGGAGAGGCGGCGATCGTGCAGAATGGCGGAGATCACGGGCAGGAGCCGGAGCAGCAGGAGGATCAGCCATCTGAGCCCGAGGTCGTGGAGGTGGAGGCGGAGGTGGCAGAGCAGCCAGAGCAGCCAGAGGAGGATGCCACTGAGAGTGAGCTTGAAGGAACCAAAAAGACTGAAGTGGAGAAGGAGAATGATGCTGCGGAGGAGGTAGCGAATGGGCCGGAAAGTACCGCCGAGGATGGAGAGGAGCCGGACGTGGCCGCCATGTCCGTTGAGGAGAAGGAGGCCGAGTCAGAGAACGAAAACGATGACGACGATGAGGTACAGATGGGCGTGCTCTAAGTGTCCTCGAACGTTTTGTAGTTTATTCACGTTTTGTGTGTGCCGTTCGCTCAACCCATTTACCCCCTCTTCAATGTGAAACTGTAAAATGAAACGTACCAAAAAAAATCAAAAAATACCAAAACAAAAACAAAAACTATATATCAATCAGTTGCAGCAGGCACTCAAATTCCATTCATATCAATTTGTTTTACCACTGCAAGAGCCACAGCAACAGCAACAACTTCAGCCGCAACCCAATCAGCAGCAAAATGCGAAACTTTAGCAATCAACTTCAACATAAGCTCGCTTTGATAACGAAATAACCAAGCCTAGTGAAATCCTTTATAAATCTCTATACATACGTATATATAGATATATATTTTGTAAAGCCAGTGTTATGTTCTCCTCTTTCGAAATACAGTTTGAATAACAATATATTTAGCCGTAGCCATTACCAGTAACCAATTAAAAATGGAATGCAAAACCTGCAACTTGTGTCTTTTGTTTATCGTTTTTCTAATGCACCCGAGACCTGCCCAACAATCCGTGTGTTTGTTTCCTTTTCCTTTTCCATTTCCGCATCCGTTTCCCTTTCAGTTTCACTTCTGTGTGTTATTGCCTTAGATCGAATCAATGCCAGTGTCTGCCCCCAATTTGAGCTTATCGATTGGCTGAAATCAGCAGCTGTTTACCCACAGATAGACTTTATAATAATGCACTCACTCCGATCCGGCAAACGTATGCATATACCTGCATACTATATATGTGCAGGCCCGACTTGGGCGTTTTCACTTTCGTCCGCCTGACATTTCGACTGGGGGACGGAAAATCGGACGGAGACTGAGGTTGAGTCGGGTGCGGAGTCGGTTCTCAACTGTCAGAGGCATCCAGTTGTTGGTGGGTCCGAATGGGAACTGAACATGCAAACGTCAAAACAGTTGCAGGCATTAGATATATGATATTTGATATATGGCAAATATACCATGTATGAAATGCGCCTCAAATGGTTGCAGTCCGTCGAGCCATTTGTTAGGGATAATCAAATGCAGTAGTGGGCGGTGCTTATGGCAGTAATAATGACTATTTCTAGCTGCATTTCAATAAAAACTGGAAAAACTAGGCGTATGCGTGATATTGCGTATACGCTATGTGGGCTTTCAAACAAGTTAATTTGCCTTTAGATTGAGTGCTTAATTGCTTGACAGTCCCATTAATTTATGACCAGTGGGAATAAACGCTTTTTAGTTTATTATGTGCTAAATTATTAATTTTAGGTATATGTAATGGGTTCAGAACTGGCATTGTCACCTGTAGCAGCACTTAGTCCTTGTAAAAAATAAATGTATCCTGTTTAATGTATTTATGTGACTTTGCACTCTGTAGCCATGTCCAGATCACTTCCCAACCAAATAAACATAATTTCTTAAGTGGTCAAATAAATTTGAACAGGATGTAATAGCTTCGGACAGCAAAGGAGGAAATCCGCAGGAGGATCAGCAGCCGGGACAGGACTCACCGGAGGACGATGGCAACGAGTCCCTGACATCGGCAATGGCCATTGAGGGCTTTGTGCAGGGTGCACCCGAGGATTTTACAGTTCAGTCTCAAACTGCAATTGATGAAGTATACAAAGCTATCCGTTTCTTCTCTGTCTACATATCGCCCTTTGTTGCTGGCTCACCTGGCTTGTTTTTGGGTTCGCACCTACGTCACTCATAATGCAAACCATCGAGTTCTACTAAACCCCAAATCATCATCACCCTTAGCGCTTTCAATCGTGCACTACTTCGTTTTGCGGTCTTGCCATCCCCACCATTTCATTGGAGATGTTGCTTTCCTGTTTTCCGTAGAACGAACGCATCAAGCGGATTGTGGAGTCCGGAGACCTGGAGCAGCTGGCCGAGATCGTGCTGAATGGCGAGGGCGGCAGCCTGGTGGGTCTGAAGTCCCAAGAACCGGAAATACAGGCCTTTCTCAACAACGTGCCCAGCTATATGGTAAGCGAGCCGAATGCCAGGAAGGAAGAGCCACTTTCTGGCGCACTAATTACGGCATGCATCATGTTTCCCATCGGCAGGAGAAAATACATCGCGTGCATGACGCGGCACGTGACGGAGGACTGCTGGCACTGCAGCAGGCTCTGGATCGCCGGAAGTTTGCCATTGCCAAGAACGACATATCGCCCAATGGCTCCACGCCTTTGCACGTGGCCGTGCTCTTCGGCCACACGGGTAGGTCTCTCCTCCCACACCCCCAAAGCCGATTTATATTTGTATGATTGGTTTTCCCCTTTCACGGGCCAGACATCGTTCGGTACTTGGCGTCGCGTTTTCCGGAGACCATGACCATTACGGATAATGACGGACGCACGGCGCTTCATTACGCAGCCACAATTAGGGACAACGGCCACTTCTACAACATGCTCCTGCAGTTGGGCGCCAATCCCAAATCACTGGACAAGGTAAGTGAGGAAGGGAAGAAAACGTAACTCACTGAAAATATTATCGGATTGCTCTACCAATCCAAAGTTATTGAAATTCACTTGTGAAGACAAAAGTATGCAATAATATATTTATGGCATACATTAGCTTGTTGTTACTTTATTGCAAAAGTCGAAGTTTATTTGGTACTTTAAAATGCTTTGGTATGTTTTTGTTTTAACCAAAACGGAAGCAAACTTTATACCCTTGCAGCTGTTACCAAAATGAAATCTTCTATATTTCGAATTAAATGTTTAAAAACAATGAAGCTAGGTCGATTATCCGATTTATTTATCGATCGTTCCTATGGCAGCTTATGATATAATCGTTAAGAAAAGAAAACAGTTATTCTGAAATCGTTAAAAATGGGTATTCATAGGAGTATTTAGGTATATTTTACGAAATAATGAAGCTATAAGTTGACTTTTATAATATATGGAGCAAAGTGTCATACAAATAGCTTTACAACTGGAGGACTAGTTTGCATAGAAACTAGACTGCATGGTGATGCTGATCAAAAATATATATACTTTATAGGGTCGGAAATGTGCCCTCTAAGAATATAAAATCGTGCCTTTATTTTTCTCAGTGTGTTAATTTCCCCAATTTGAAATAATAATATTGCAGAAAGAGTTACATGGTTAGGAAAAGAATCCTTCCCGAGTTCCTAGAGAAAAACTGATCGACCAATTGCATTTAAAATGACAAAATTGTTCAAAATTATTTTTAAATTATTCACCCTAAACTGAAATTAAAATCGGGTCAAGGCTCTTTCGATACGCTGCCTCCCTTGACTTTCAAATGTCTGCTGCGGTGGGAATCAATATGCCATAAATTTGTGATTAGCCCGAAATAAATAATGTACAGAGTTTGATTTAAAATTCAATAACCAAACACACGCAGCTGGGCCACTCGGCCGAGTTATACCTGGACAAGGACAAGGCGAAAAACATTCTCAACTACACCGAGCTGCTCAACATTTTCGGTGCCGAGGAACTGGAGAACCAGTTGCTCAACGACCAGGGTAAGGAAACGGGGCAGCTGTTCCAGCTTGACCGTTCACCAGGCACCACCACAACCAACCACTACCACCCACCAGCCACACCCACATGAACCCCCCATTGAGGTCACCCGATCCACCCATTCCGCAGATAGTGCTAGGCCATGCCGCTTTGCTTTGTCTGTGGCTTTAGTGGCGTTTTTGTTTTCACACTCGCTTTCGCTGCCCACACACGAACACACACGCGTGCCGCGGGTGAACCGAAATAATTAAATACATTTGTTTGCCAAGTCAAACATCCGACTGTGCCGAGGGGGCGGGCCAAGCCACGGGCTATAAACTATAAACTGTAGCCACTGTAGGGGCTAACTGAGCTCGGCGCGAGCTTTGGCCAAGTCAGTCATCGATTTTCGGTCGCACCGTGCAGCACACCGTGTCCTTCGCTCCGTGGCCACACACTGCGTATACGTGCTGGATACTTAGTCGTCGGTTGTCCTGCAAAAATGGAGGGAAATCGCAATGAATTTTTCAACGAAATCATTGGCAATATTGATGAAATATTCGGTATGTAAGCGAACCGCACCATCCCGCCCCAGCACCTGCGCCTTTTTCTTGAGCACCCACCCAGCAGTCCTTTCATCCGTATCTGTCATGGTGTCGTTGTTCGTACCCGTCCGTATCTCTGTGCCTTTGTCTTCGCTTTGGTGTGTCTGTGTGTGCAAACTGATAACCGTCCAACCCAAAAATTATAACCTATGCTGCTCCGGAATCCATGAGCAGTCCCCGACGATCTGCACAGTGCCCGGCGGGAGCTGCAGGATGGCGAGATCTCGAGGACCCTGGAGCGCTGCTACAGCGTCATTTCGGAATCGGGCAAGCTGTTGAGCGGGACTACGGCATCGGCCCTGTCCCATCGAAAGCCCCTGAGTGCATCTTCGCTGCAGCTTTCGGTGACCAGCTATCTGAGTCGCTTCCTAAAGCGAGCCGTCTACGAGAAAATCAAGCGACGGCAAACCCGACTCGACCACAATCTCTTCGATGTCCTGTGGCCTGCCATGCGAAAAACCTCGAAGGCTCGCCACCTTGAGGAAGACATCAATTGCGGGATTATAGCCCCAGATTTTGATGTGTTTGTGGTGTTCCAGGAGTTCCTGGTGCCGCTGCTGAAGGATATGCATTGCCTGAGTATCGATGCTGATTTCAAGCCCCAACCGCGTCTGGCTTACTTTCCAATGGACAACGGGGAAAGGCTCAACACGGCGGCTTTTGTCTTTGACGATGAGTCACTTCTGGTCACCCGTTGCTTGGTGGAGGTCTCTAGGAACCTGGATCAGCTGGAGCTACCCTTAAATCTCACCATTGGCCAACTAGAGCAAGCGGAGCGCCTAATGATGAGCAAGATTTTCACCACCAACTTTGCGGATGCCATTGGCGAAACGGACTCGGGAAACTATTACACGATGACCGAGCTCTTGGAAACCGATTCAGAGGTCACGATGATGCTGAGCAGTCTGGGACTGATGATTCCCCTTCTAGACACCCAGGATTTGGTGCAGGCTGCCGAGTGCACAGCTTTCAACGGAGCTCTTTGGCCTTATGGCAGGGGAGTGTTTGTTAATTCAGCCAACAATTTGGCAGTGTGGCTTAATTGCCAGGAGCATTTGAGAATAATATCCACAACCAGCAGCAAAGAGCCTGCGGATATGGGAGCTGCCTATACGAGAGTGGGAAGAGCCATATCCTATCTGGAAAGCCAACTGCACTTCAAGGAGAGCTACCTCCTGGGATACCTCCAATCCAGGCCAAGTTATTTGGGCACTGGTCTCAAGATGACAACCATTGTAAAGTTGCCCAATCTGATGAAGGAGATGGACAATCTGCGACACTTGTGTTCCGTGAGGGGCTTGAGTATGGTGACAAATCGCCTTTCAAAGTTGACCGTGCGCCTTGTAAATATGCAAAGCATGGGTGTGGTGGAATACGTGCTTTTCCAGGATTACTGCACTGCAGTCACGAATATCCTGTCACTGGAAAAGGATATGTCGCTTACAAACTCCAAACACATTGCCACCATGCTGGTGAAGATCTTCAAACGCAAGAAAAACAGCATCGTGGATCGTAACTAAAAGAAAAAGAGATAAATCCAAATTGAATGTACATAGAAAAGCAAAGAATACCTCAGCACAGTAAATCTTAAGTACTAAAACAATAAATACCTTACTCGATTGATACCTGCCTCGTCTCCTCATCTAAAATCTCCTCCGCTTTAGCTGCGTTTAAAGTTAATCTGCAATCGTAAGTTCCGCTTTGAGTTACACCTACATAGCTGTATCCGTACCTGTGTCTTGCCCGATGACTGTGATCTCGTCACGATTTCAATATGATTTGCAACGTCTCTTGAGTTCCACCATCGGCATCCTCATCTTTGTTTGTTTACCTCCTTCCCGCTCCAAAAAATGCTCCCCCTCTCGCTTTGTGTACATAGATTTCTGGGAATCGACCCACTGAGTGTGACTGACGATATCCTGGGCCTTTGGTGTGACTAATGCAGCTTGTTTTCCACACAGGTCAGGCGCAGCCGGTGTCCTTTCAGGCCAATCCCATCTTCAAGACGGAGCAGGGAAAATATCTGGCTGATTGTAAGTATCCGGGAACTTTTGAGCTTTGGTTAAGTAGTGAAGAAAACGTAAATTAACTATACATTGCTTGCATGAATAACTTTTACAGTTCCGTGACAAAAATGTAACGACATTTTTTAGAAACCTAATTTTAGATAAGAAAACAAGTTATTCCGAAGAAAAACACACTAACAACAAAAGAATGGCCGTATCGTAAAATAAATTTATAGCTTAAAAGTTTATATTGGGTGGCGCTAAAAAGTTATGACTCCAGAAATATAATTAGTATATAGATATGTAGTAGATATAGGAACTTCTCACACCAGGAGCTTAATAACCTCTCTTTTCTTTGCGTTAGCTCTCGCCGATCCTTTGATTAAGGCCCTCACTGAAATAGCCAACAGAAGACCCAGGGACCCCGTGGCCTATCTGACCAACTACCTCCAACACTTCATGGGGGATCGCAAGCCAATGACCGAGGTGCAGGTCCACTCGGGGAGCAGCAAGGCCAGTACCAGTTCCACCTCCACCCTGGCTTTGGCCAAGTCGAATGCCAGCTCAAACCAACGGATGGTCGGCACTCGAAATGGTCCTGGTCCCACCAATGCGGATCTCATCGAACTGGACGCCAGATCCCTGGTGGAGGAGGATGCAGAGGGAGCTCTGGCGGTGCAGCATATGGAGGAGCGGGATGAGCACGGCCAAAGTATGCTGCACTTCGCCTGTGCCCGCTCCCATCGTAGGGGAGCCCTCTACACTCTTATTGAGGAGTCGGGCATTGACGTCACCTACCGGGATGAGTTGTATCGCACGGCTCGGGACGTCTCGCTCCAAGCGAATCAGCCCAACAATGCGGCCGAGATCGATCGATATGTCCTGGCTCAGGCGGTTATCGGTAGGCTAACCTTAGTGGATCCTTCTTTAGGGTAGTAATACAATCTATTTTATTAAAAAGGCGACGTGGAACCCTTCGAACAATTGGCTCTACAGGGCTATGATCACATTCTAGACGTCGAGGATGAAAGCGGTCAGTCCATTATCGATGTGGTACAATCCCGACAGAACGAAACTCTTAGCCAGTTCCTGAACAATCTTCGTGGCTTGGAGGAAACTCGTGAAGAACTCCATCAGATGGTCAGGGAAAACAACATGGAGCGAGTAATGGAGCTGACCGATGTTGCCAATGCCAAGTGGTTAATTAAGACCAAGAACTATTATGGTAAGAAACGATCATTAAAGAGATTCCCTTAATTTTATGATCCTTAACTTCAGGTCGAACGGCCTTGCACATAGCGGTGTTGAAGGAGTCAGAGGAAATGGTTCAGCATATGGTGAAAATCTGTCCTGAGGCTTTGAAAATCCCAGATAATGTGAGTAGGGTCGTTTTTATCTTGATCTCTACTTATAACATATAAAATTCCCAGCTGGAACGCACTGTATTGCACTATGCAATGGGAACGAACGCGCTGGAGAGCGTTAGCCGGATTTTGATTCAGAACGGGGCTAAGAGGACCGCTAAGGACTTAAAAGGACGACAGCCAAGCTATTACTTCATCAACAAAGCGGATATATTACGCCTGCAGGAGGAGGAGGAGGAAAGCCGCTGAGCGAACGGGTCGAGCAATATGTATAGTTTAGGGTATTTTAAGCCGTTATATAGTCCAATAAAGTACAATATAAAAAGGTTTTCGATAAGTAGCTCGTGCCTGGCGCCCTGGTTGGTTGGACAACTTTCGCTATCAGTCGAAGTGCTTCACACTTTATCTTTAGAAATTCTGGGGGCACGGGGTTTTCAGCACAAGCCTGAAGGATCCGTTGAGTATGCATGATGCAGATACTTGCCATTGGCAACCGATAAGATTAAGCCACCGCCTCTGAAGAGGCTTAGTAGATATAAAGACCTTGCCGGGCAGCCGTCGTACGTGAAAAATCAATGACGTTTTTAAAGTTGTACGAGTGCTTCAAGAGGGCCTTTCCCTTTTCATCACTATCGCATCCGGATTACAGGCGCCGTACCTCCCACCACCTTTCAAAGCCATTCTGTCTGACGCTATCAGTTGTCCGTTGTCCGATGTCCGTTGTCCGCCTGTCCGCTTGTCCGTTTTTCCGTTGTGGAACCGCTATCGCTCCGATTTACGAGTACATACCCTCGGTTTCATTGTTGCTTTTTCCTTATCAATATCGTGTTTGTGAAGTGCCCTGATTTGGTGTCCATTAAGCGGGTATCACTTCAAAATTGGCGACGGGTTCGATTAGCTCTCCAATGAAATTAAAGGTCTAAAGCAAACTGGCTGCAAGTTAAGTGTTGAGTTCAATTTCGATCTTTAGAGTGTGTGGTACGAATTTAAGTGGTGCGGATATGACGGCGGTTACGAATACGGGTTAGTTAGAAGTCCTGAAAGGATTCTACTCAAGTAGCTCCTCAAGGTTAAGGACACTCAGGAAAAAAGTAGTAATGAATTAATCAGACCTTTGAAGAGATGGATAAAAAAAGGTTTTTCAATTTTGTATTGAGTTTAGATTGTTTTGAAAAATTGTGATTAATAATTGTATTTCAAATCTTTCAATCAAACCTTTCTAACTACTTTAGTTGTTTAACTTTCTACGTGGCAACTGTTAATCATTTAAAACCTCTTCAATGAAACCCAACCAGTCTGCAATTCATGTGATTAAATCGCTTTATTTGATCATAAAGTAACCAAAACCTTTGATTTAAGTGGCTTCTAAACACGTGAACAACTTTCCCCTAGAGAAATATATAGAGGAAGCGATATATTAACAACCGATAAGGATTAGGAAACATTTTACAATAGGCATTTCCAGACCCACTTAAGTGTGTTACTTATGGGATTTATTTCTGATTTAATAGGTCCGATGATTGGCCAGCGTCATATGCAGGCCTTTCTGCTCTTTCTGTCGATTGTGGTCAACTATATGGCCAAGTTTAATGCTGGAGTGGCGGTTGTGGCGATGACAAATGCCGAGAATACTAACCCGAATTTTCCAGTAAGTTTATAGAGGTTTCCTTTAAAGATATTCAATTAAATGCCTGAAACTTAATAGGAGTACGAGTGGAATGAAATGGAGCGCTCCTACATATTATCCAGCTTCTTCTGGGGCTACATATTGACGCAATTCCTGGGTGGATGGCTGTGCAGGCGCTATGGAGCCAGGATTACCATGTTTGTGTCCACCATTGGATCAGCTCTTCTGGCCTTGCTCCCACCCTGGTGTGTTTCCTGGGGTGGCTGGCAGGCGTATTGCGCTATCCGGATGTCAATGGGTTTGTTCCAGGGCTTCCTATTCCCCTGCATCCACGCCCATCTGGCCAACTGGTGTCCGGTGAATGAGAGAAATCGATTGGGAGCCCTGGCCAACACGGGTATTGACTGTGGAACTCTGGTGGCCATGTTTGCCAGTGGACTACTGGCAGCCTCGAGCATCGGCTGGCCCGGAATCTTCTACGTGTCCTGTGCTGTAGGCATTTTCTGGTGCATCATCTGGTTGATTTTTGGAGCCAACACACCCAGGGAATCCAAGTTCATTAGTGAGGCGGAACTTAACTATATTGAAACGTCGATCAACTCCAGTCGCAAAGCGGAGGAGGCAGAGCAGAAGGCCACTGGACCGATTCCGGTTCCCTGGAAAGCCATTTGGACCTCGGTACCTTTCTGGGCTTTAATGATCACGAGATGCTGCCAGTCATGGGGATATTCGACCCTCCAGACCGAGATGCCAGCCTACATGAACGGAGTCCTGTTGATGGACATGAAGAGCAATGCCCTTTACTCGGCTTTGCCATATTTCACTTCCTGGATAATGGCCTTCGTCTACCTGATCATCGCGGATATCCTGCTGACCAGAGGCGTCATGACCATCACTGGCATTCGGAAAACTGTGAACTCGTTGGCATTCTTTGTGCCCGCTCTTGCACTGATCGGCATCGGCTTTTTGGACAGTAATCAGAAGACTTTGGCCGTGGTGCTGATGTGCGCCAATGTGGGAATCAATGCTGGGTCTACAATTGGTAGTACGATTAACACAATCGATTTGTCACCAAATCATGCTGGCATTCTTATGGGAATTATTAATACGGCGGCTAACGTTGTGCCCATTTTAACGCCCCTCCTTGTTGGAATTATCGTGAAAGATGATGTGAGTATAAACTTTATTCCCCAGACTAAAAACATATTTAACTTTATTTCCCTATTCCTATCTTTAACAGCACGATCGTGAGCAGTGGCAAATTGTGTTCATCATATCAGCCGTCATCTTCATTGTGGGCAACATAATCTATCTAGCCTTTGGTCAGATGGTTAATCAACCTTGGGATGCAGCCGACTTTATGGATAAGCAAAGAACCTTGAATCTACAAGAGGATGGAAATGCTAAGGCTTTGAAAACAAACCAAAACGACTATTTGGACGAAGCGAAACGTAAGGAAAGTGAAGCTGGATTAGAAAGCAATGGAGCTACCAAAAAGGATTTAACTGAGGAGAATCTGAGCAACAACGAACTTTGAGTTCCTGGAAGAGACAAACTATCTATAACTCGAAAACAACAATATATTTTTACTCGCGGCTGGTCCGTAACTCTTTTTTATCAAGAGTTTTGTTTATAGAATAAATAAAATTAAGTCTAATGTTGTCCCAATGAGTAATTTAAGGTGTAAATATAAAAACTTGAACTTAAATAATCCATGACCTTGTTGAGCTATAGGCTCAGGTGCTACCTGTCACTTCATTATCAATGAACACTGATTACTACAAAAAGCAGTGGGAGTACTGATCGTAAATAAGCAAGCAATTGACGTATGTGACTTGTGGAAATATGATCGATTGGTCCTTCAATTAATTTGACATGTGTTTTAACTACTAACAAATTGAAATTTGATAAGAGAAGAAGGCGTAACCAGTTTTGTTAAGATAAATACGTGGGAATTTTGTGACCAGAGATAATATTGCCTTAAATACTATTTATCACTTCAAAACGGATCTGACCTTTGAGTTGTTTTGTTACAGATTTTACTAAAGATACTAGTTAATCAAAGTGAGGGTCCCAGATTAGCTTAGGTCAGTTTTTCAAAAATATAAAGAACTGATTATGGTTGGGTTTATGGTCCATAGTATTAGATTTCCTTTATCTGCAAATTAAGTTAACTGGTATAATCACCGACATTCCTGTTTTTAGTCGTTTACGATCGTAATCGCGTGCCTTTTTCTCTTAACTCTTGACATAAACTCTTTGCGTTAAAACGCACGCGTTAAAACCTTATCACGGGATAATCTAGCTGATTAAGTGAAAAGTTTATTATAACTCTTACGATTAAAATCGTGGCATGGTGTGGTATTTCTACGGTTCACTCAAGTTTATTAATTGTACGATTTTGGACGCAGAAGGGTCAAATTGCCATCAGCAGTTCAAGAATGACAGCTGAAATAAATAAAGGTAAACAGAAGTTATACTTTTTCTTTTGTTAGTTATACTTTCTTTCTTTAAAATAAAGGTAAGAAGATAACGTATTACCTAATACTGCAAACAGAAAGAGCTGAATTAAAAACTACTTATGGACTTTAATCGATCGTTCTTGGAAAGTGTCCATAAAGTCAATACACTTAACTGGTTCTAAGGACTGATTAACCGTCGCACCATTCGGCACACCCCATAAATTGTCCAGCTGGTGTAGTTTTGATAACAACATCTCAAGTGGATTTAAGATCTATCTGCTGAATACCAACCCTACGATTTCTGAAGTACCCGCATTACTAACTATTTTGGCTATATCATTATAGGACCCCTACTGGGAATGCGACACGTTCAGACCCTGCTGCTTTTCCTCAACATAACGTGTTTGTATATCGGACGATTAAATGTGGGTGTATCCGTGGTCGCCATGACAAATGCAGAGTCCACTAATCCGGATTTCCCAGTAAGAGTTTCAATTCAATCATCTACCATTCGCTCACAATATGTTTTTGTATCAGGAATATGATTGGACCTTGACGCAGAAGTCTTATATATTATCCAGTTTCTATTGGGGATACATCTTCACCCAGTTCCTGGGCGGATATCTGTGCAAGCGGTATGGAGTCAAGAGTGTCATGCTCTGGGGATCCTTTGCATCCGGTGTCTTCAGTGCTGCGACACCACTCTTCATCGGCTTTGGCGGATGGCAAGGCTACTGCGGAATTCGAGTGCTGATGGGCTTAGCTCAGGGGCTGATCTTTCCCTGCATTCATCAGCACCTGGCCAGATGGTCTCCTCCGGCGGAGAGGAATCGCTTGGGAGCCGTCAGTCACACGGGTATCGAGTGTGGCAACGTGTGTGCCATGTTCTTCAGCGGAATGATAGCTAAAAGTCCCATAGGCTGGCCAGGAATATCATATGTGTCCGCAGGAGTGGCCTTTGCCTGGTGTTTCTTCTGGTTCCTTTTTGCGGCCAACAATGCAGTGGAATCCCGATACATAGGAGAGGCGGAGCTGCACTACATTGAATCATCCCTGAAGCATAACGAGGACTATCACAAGACCATTATTCCCATTCCCTGGAGGGCTATTTGGACCTCGGCTCCGTTTCTGGCTCTTTTGGTGGCCCGCTGCTGCGAGACCTGGGGTCTGAGTACCCTACAGGCCGAAATTCCAACCTATATGAACGGCGTTCTCGATATGGACATGAAAAGTAATGCATTCTTTTCGGCGCTGCCCTTTTTGGCCATGTGGTTCATGTCGTACGTGTACCTGATAACCGCCGATGTTCTGCTCGCTGGAAACAGACTTAGTTTGACGGCCCTCAGAAAGACCATCAATTCGATGGCCTTCTGGATCCCTTGTGCGACCTTGATTGGAATCGGATTCCTGGACCAGGACCAGAAGAACTGGGCCATTGTTCTGATGACCATCAGTGTGGGCGTGAACAGTGGTGCAACCATTGGAACCTCCCTAAACACAATCGATCTATCACCAAATCATGCCAGTATCCTAATGGGAATCATTAATACGGCTGCGAATGTGGTGCCAATAGTGACTCCCCTGGTTGTTGGTTTGATCGTTGAGGAAGAGGTAAGTCTTGCACATCTTCCTAATTTGAACCCAACTAATTCCATTTATGTTTCAGACAAATCGCTCAGAGTGGCAGATCGTGTTTCTAATTGCATCAGTACTCTTCTTTTTCGGAAACTGTGTATTTTTATTCTTTGGCACGGCGGTTTCGCAACCCTGGGATGCTGAGGACTATCTTCAATTGAAAGAACCTGAGCTTGCTATGAATGAAATGCCTAAAAATACGTTAGATCCCCTGGATAGATAATACCTGTTTTTTACAATCATTAATGTCTAGCATAGTTACAAGTTGGTTAAATGTAATATAATAGTAATTAAAGGCCTAAATTTTGATAATGTGTTTAAGTATTAATATCTTAATTGGTAAATTCAATTAGTAAATCCGGCCCCTTTTATAAAAGTACATTTTTTTTTTAAGTCGCGTGTTCAGCTAATGTTCAAATTCGACCGCGATTTGACCTTATCATATTCAGATAAGCCAAATAAGTCTTATCGGCTTATTCGATTTGGATTTAAGTCAACACAATGTTACTGCAATCATTCACTTAATTCCCTACAGTGCTGCGGATCGGTTGATTAAAAGTATTGGAATATTAATTTCATCGATCAGAACGACGATGTCGGCAGAAATTAACAAAGGTGTGTGGAAAAGGAAATCCTTCGATTCGGATTTGTGAATGGAATGACATTCCATGATCTTGACACAATTTAAACGTTCTTCAGAAGTGAGACCTTGCACTACGCCCAACGAAATGATCGGGTTTTTCGCACGCCCATTAAGTGGTCATAAATCACTCCAATTATGGCGCCGATAACGATGTCTCAAGAGCAATTCAGATTTATTTGCCGACTGCTTGCAGGCAGGAAGTGATCGCGATACTGATAGTTACTTTTGATAATGGTTTCAGGACCCGTGGTGGGCATGCGGCATGTCCAGGCCCTACTGATCTTCCTCAACATAACTGTTATGTTCCTAGGCCGGCTGAATGTGGGCGTGTCGGTGGTGGCAATGACCAATGCGGAGACCACGAACCCGGACTTTCCCGTAAGACTTCAGTTTATATAAAAGAAATATAATATATCTAATCTTTACAACCTCCATAGGAATACGACTGGACAGAGGCGGAGAAATCGTATATACTGTCCAGCTTCTTTTGGGGTTACATCTTCACCCAGTTCCTGGGGGGATATCTGTGCAAGCGGTATGGAGTCAAGAGAGTCATGTTCTGGGGTGTCTTCGGATCCGGTGTCTGCAGCGCATTGACACCGCTGTTCATCGGATTCGGCGAATGGCAGGCCTACTGCGGCATTCGAGTGTTAATGGGACTGGCGCAGGGAGTGGTTTTCCCCTGCATCCATCAGCACTTGGCCAGATGGTCTCCTCCGAAGGAGAGGAATCGCTTGGGGGCTCTGGCTCACACTGGAATCGAGTGTGGCAACGTGAGTGCCATGTTCTTCAGTGGAATGATAGCCAAGAGTTCCTTGGGATGGCCCGGAATTTCGTATGTCTCGGCTGGATGTGCCTTCTTCTGGTGTGCAGTGTGGTTCGGCTTTGCAGCCAACAATCCCACAGAATCTCGCTTTATAGGAAAAGAAGAACTCCATTTTATTGAGTCATCTCTCAAGCATAGTGAAAAGTACCACAAGACCATCATACCAATCCCCTGGAAGGCGATTTGGACTTCGGCTCCATTCCTGGCTCTGCTCGTAGTACGATGCTCTGAAAACTGGGGACTGAGCACTCTGCAGGCCGAGATCCCATCCTACATGAACGGAGTCCTCGACATGGACATGAAGAGCAACGCTTTCTTCTCAGCACTTCCATTCCTGGCCATGTGGATCATGTCGTATATTTACCTAGTCACAGCAGATGTCCTAATGAGTAAGAAGTCAGTCACATTGACCGTGTTGAGAAAAACCTACAACACGTTAGCCTTCTGGATACCTGCTGTCACCTTGGTTGGCATTGGATTCCTGGGAAAGGATCAGAAGAACTACGCGATTGCCTTGATGACCATCAGTGTGGGCGTCAATAGTGGACAAACCATTGGAAGTGTTTTGAACACCATTGATCTGTCCGAAAATCATGCCAGCATTCTGATGGGAATTGTAAATACAGCTGCGAATTTTGTGCCAATAGCCACTCCTTTGGTAGTTGGATGGATTGTTGAGGATAATGTGAGTATTGTCATATGTTTATTGTTAGACAGTTCCTTAACTTGTACTTCAAATCCTTTTTTTCAGTCTGATCGGACAGAATGGCAGATCGTCTTCATCATCGCCTCCGTCTTCTTTTTTGTGGGCAATTTAGTCTATTTGATCTTTGGCACAGCTGTAACACAACCCTGGGATGCCGAGGATTATCTGCAGATAAAGGAACCTGAGCTTGCTAATGGTTCGAACAGCCAAAAGACACCTAAAGAAGAATCTTCCTTTAAAATCAACGAAAATACCAGCAGATAATAAATGCAATAAGCTGTTAACTATTTATATAAGAAATTAGTTTTAGATTAGGTGTGAGTTATAAAATAAATGGACCCATATATCAGCACTATGCATTTTCAATTAATAATAAGATGAGTTTGTTAATGTTTGATTGTTGGTTGATTTTAAAGGATAATGCGAGTTTATTTTTATACCCGTTACTCGTAGAGTAAAAGGGTATATTGTATTCGTGCAAAAGTATGTAACAGCTAGAAGGAAGCGTTTCCGACCCTATAAAGTATATATATTCTTGATCAGGATCACTAGCCGAGTCGATCTAGCCATGTCCGTCTGTCCGTCTGTCCGTCTGTCCGTCTGTCCGTCTGTCCGTCTGTCTGTCCGTCTGTCTGTCTGTCTGTCTGTCTGTCCGTATGAACGCTGAGATCTCGGAAACTATAAAAGCTAGAAGATTGGCATTTTGCAAGTAGATTTTAGAAGTTCCTACGCAGCGCAAGTTTGTTTCAAAATGGTGCCACGCCCCCTTTAACGCCCACAATCGCTTATATACGATTTTAAAAATTTAAATATTTTGGAAAAGTAAAAATGCAGTTTTATTGTGTTTATCAATACCTATCGAAATGTAGAAGAAATTTTTCAAATCGGACCATTCGTTAAAAAGTTATGCGTGATCAAAGTTTCTATCTCCATCTCCCTCGCACTCCCTTTACTTGAGTAACGGGTATCTGATAGTCGGGGCACCCGACTATAGCGTTCTCTCTTGTTTCTTTTATGGTCGGACAGAACTGACAATCTATTTTTAAACCGCCCGGTTTGTCAACTCGATGAGGAAGTGGCGAAAGCTTTGCCATTAATGAAACCACTATTTTTGATTATTTTACTACGATCCCTAAAAATCTGAAAAAGCTCGAATCCCTGAGAAGATAATTACAGCTTTTTTGGTAATCTAATCTGGAACCCATTAAGCTTTAGCTCATAACATACTGAGTGGCAAGGGGAATCACTCGAATTCCTACCGCCAAGAAGTCGGTTTGGCTAATCTCAGTTTTCCTTAATTTAATAAAGGTCAATAAATTGATAGAAACAGTATAAATACTTTGGCCGTGTGCTCGGTACATTATCGATTACTTTATTATTTATTTAACTGGTAGCATCGCTTATCAGTAGCGTTCCATTGTTTCGACGAGATTAAGGCCATAAAGAATAATATTCCAAAAAATAAATAAAATCATTCATTTATGGATGGTCTGGTTTGTTCAAGTGGCATGTTAAGTTTGCCTCTTTCCGCTTTCCGTTTCGAGCTTTTAGCGGATCGGATTTATTTTCTCCACGGCTCTAGGTCTGCTGAACAAAAACGTTAGTTGATAATAGTGCCATAAATCTTTTGGCCAAATAAAAACGTCTCTGGTGTTGAGTGGGTGTGCTTTTTTTTTTTAGCTCCCACTTAAACTTTGTGTAAATCCATCAATATTTACTGATACTACGTAGAAACATATGCATATGCTTTCTCAGCCCGCTTGCGAATAGAACAATAGATCGGATACGTCAGTCGCCTTCTGGAACGAGGAGTTGCGTCAAAGTAAAACCGATCTTGTTTATTTCTGAACCATCTCTCTGGGGACTTACCTGCGAGTCCCCGGACAAATAAAAATAAGTGAATGATATCGCTGAGGGGCCCGGCCCAAGCTCGCAAAGCTTTCTGTCGCCGTATAAATGTTGGCAATGCAATGGCGATTGGGCTTAGAACCATTCTACCAATTCGGCAGTGCAGACCTCGGGTTAACTGGAAAAAAAAGGTGTTCCTAGTGGACTAGCTTCCTGGTTTTGCTTTGTGATCATGACCCATAAACCATCGAAGGGCCCTCGTCTGGGCGTTCGGCATTTGCAGTCGTTCCTGCTCTTTCTGGGCCTGACCGTAATGCACATAGCCCGACTGAATGTCAGTGTAGCCATAGTGGCCATGACCAACGCGGCGACCACGAATCCCAATTTTCCGGTGAGTTTCAAGTGATATCATTAGCCGAACAATCGCGCTGACGTGGCTGCTTTCCCCCAGGAATTCGAATGGTCGGAGAAACAGAAGTCGTATATACTCTCCAGTTTTTACTGGGGCTACATCCTGACCCTTTGTCCTGGCAGTTTCCTGTGTCGTCGCTACGGCGCCAAAGTGGTCCTTTTTGTGGCCAGTTGTGGCACGGCCGTGTTCAGCCTGATGACGCCCTGGTGCCTCACCTGGGGAGGATGGCAAGTGTTTTGTGCGATCCGCATCCTTCAGGGCTTATTCCAGGGAGTGATCTTCCCCTGCGTCACGGAGCACTTGGCCATGTGGTCACCGCCGGAGGAGAGGAATCGCCTGGGCGCCTTCAGCTACACGGGCACGGATTGCGGCACTGTGTTGGCCATGTTCATTAGTGGCATGATTGCCAAGGGAGCGATGGGCTGGCCGGGTATATCCTATGTGTCCGGATCTCTCTGCGCCGCCTGGTGCTTCCTCTGGCTGATATTCGCCTCCAACAATGCCACTGAATCCCGGTTCGTTGGCGAAGCCGAGTGCAAGTACATCGAGTCCTCGCTGGAGCACAATGAGGATTTCCACGAACGCACGATACCCATTCCCTGGAAGGCCATCTGGACTTCGGTGCCCTTCCTGGCCCTTCTGGTGACCCGCTGTGCGGAAACCTATGGACTGAGCACACTCCAGGCGGAAATACCCTCCTACATGAACGGAGTGCTCAACATGGAGATCCAGAGCAACGCGGTGTTCTCATCGCTACCCTTTTTGGCCATGTGGCTGCTGTCCTACGTCTATCTGATTGCTGCCGATGTGCTGCTCAAGAAGAAGATCCTGTCCTTGACTGCCGTGAGAAAGGTGTTCAACACGCTATCCTTCTGGATTCCCGCTGCCGCCCTGATTGGCATCGGATTCCTCGGCGAGGAGAACAAGAACCTGGCCATCATACTGATGACTGTGTCGGTGGGCGTGAATAGTGGAGCAACGATTGGTAGTTCCCTGAACTCCATCGATCTGTCACCCAATCACGCTGGTATATTGATTGGCTTGAGCAACACGGTGGCGAATGTTATTCCCATCCTCACACCACTGATTGCCGGAGAGATCGTGGCCGATAAGGTGAGTCAGCCCTCGAAAAAATAAGGAAAAACCCAAATCAATAACAATAATAAATATTTCCCAATTTCACAGCACAATCGCGGGCAATGGCAGATCGTTTTTGGACTGGCAGCTGTCATTTTCTTTGTGGGCAATGTGGTTTTCATCATTTGGGGAACCGCCAAGGCGCAGCCCTGGGATGCAGATGACTACCTGAAACCGAAGGACGCGGAATCCGCCAGCGAAAAGCAGAAAAGTTCGCCCGCAGAGATCGCACCACCCATCGATCCTGTTTTAGAACAGCAAATCAGTTGGCCGGAGAGGTACACGGCAAAAGCGATCGAGTGATTTGTGGCGGAAGTGGCGGCCCAGAACAATTGATTTTGTTAATCAGTATTAACCATAAGTAGGCTGTAATTTATATTTATTCTATTTATAAGGCGTGACCGTATCGCGAGGCTTAAGTAAATTATTTTCAATTGAATCGCTTTGTTCTGTTACCAATCGCTCGTGATTTTGGCACTCGAATCGAGGAAGAGCCCGATCGGCCAGCGCAATCTAATCTGTTAATTTATCTTATAAATGTATATAAGTACCATATTTATTTTGGATTGAGGCTCATGCGACCAATTGTCAATGGCTGGAGCTGGAGCTGAGTGGTTTGCACTGCCCCTTTCGACGGATTGAAAAACATTTGCCACAGCTGTTTGTGAATATATAAAAATTGTGATACTTAGAAATAAACTGTTGACTTGTTTCTTCGCTCTTTGTACTTTGCTTTATTTGAACTAGCAGCTCGTGGTTGGGAATGGGATCTCGGTTAAGTAAAATCTATGTTTTGTCACATATTTTTGGTTTTCTATCAGACCACACTTCTTATTAAGAGGTATCTGAAGCTAATCTCTGGACTTTGCTCTATTTTGACTAACCACTTCTGACTCGAATAAGATTTTTAAGGCTTTGGATTTATGGTTTAATACAGATTTCTGCTTATGGTAAGCCTCAATGTTTATTTGTAATTTGATTGTTGTACACACGTGTTGATTGCTGAAATCTAAGTTGGTCTACAAATTCTATATGTCAACTAACCGTAATGATCTGCACTCCTATCAACTGTTTTGGGTATTTGTTAGCAATGGTTCTGATCTATGACTATTTAAGATCGTGGAATCCCTTTCTGAGACCAGCCTACTTTTAAGTTGAGTAAGGTCTCTCGGCCTTATCTTATCAGCGGCTAATTCAGCAGTAATTATCGCCTAACGATCGCTTTTTCATTTGATAAAAAAAGCAGTATAGTGCCCGGAACCAAAGTGATTGTAATTAGCTCCGGCAATTGATATAAAGTGCCTGGCTGACTGCCGGCGTTATATTTGCTCTCTGATAAGAACTTACCGCCAGCTACTGCGGAAAGAACAATTTGCACCTGTCATTGTTATTGTTTGCTTTTATACCCAGATCCCACGAGACTGTGAGTTATGGAGGCAAGAAGTGGGTGTGCGATAGTTCAACGCTCGGTTATTAAACTGTCTATAAAGCGAAATGATTGACTACTGCGAGATGAGGATCTTTAAGGGCACTCATTACGTGTTCTGTTTAGAGATGATTTGTATTCCCTCTTAAATCTCTCGAATGTACGTTCTAGGAACTAAAATCTTAAAATTTTAGTAACAGAGAAGAAATTATTTTACTAGCCGAAAAAAAAATAAAAGCTTAAAAAACAAAAAATTATATGCTAAAATATTTGTAAAGTTTGTCAATTATTGGTTTGCATAAGGTGTTATACGGATTTTACCAAGAACATTCGAACTTATATTGTAAACATTTTAATTAGTATTAATAATATATATGATACAAATTAAATTTTTTTTTGTTTTTAAAAAGAGCAACAAATTACCTTTTTACTTCCGTCTTTAAAGGCATCGCTGTATGAGAAACATTCTAGTCGAGTGGTAGAGTTTTTCTCTATGGTTTGAACTATAAAAGGTATTTTATTTAAAGACATATATATATATTGATATTTAAAGGCTCCATTTAAGGAAGGTCCTTTCAATTCAATTGGCTTATATCTAACACTGTCATTTAAAGCTAAGGCCGTGAAACTTAAGTAAGGCATTCCCGGCAGCGCAGCGGCCGCATTTATGTATTTCTTATACATATATTATTATGCTTCTTGCTGCTGACAGCGGCTAGCTCAAGAGAGGTAGTATGTACTGGTAGTGTTTGTGCAGTCAAGGCACGGGAATCTGCTGACCTATGCACTTATGATCTTCAAGGCAGAGCTCGGCTGATCGTGATATGGTCTACTCGAACCATGCCTTGTGTTTAGGTAAGCACATGCAACAAAGTGTAACAGTGCGTATCCCTTAAGTACTATTGGTACAGTGGGTATTGGTTATATGTGTACATACTACAGAACATAAGAGTCCAGGTAAAAGTTTTTTCCAACTTAAAGTTGTCCCTATGTAAAATTATAATTATATAAAATAATGTTTATTACATTTATAAAGATTAGAAAATATACCTAATTATATAAGCTTATATTAAAATAAAAAGTGGACGCTACATTGCTAAGAAAGATTTTAAAGTTGATGGGCCAAATTTAAAATGAACGAGCTTGGCTAACCTGAATCTAGATATAATTCAATATTATTTGAAATTGTTATATTTCTGAATATTCGTTTCTGTGCAGTGCACTTAATCAACTTAATTCAATTCGAATCCATTAATTGTAAAATATGTTGCACGTATTATAGATATAAATGTTTATGAAAACTATTTTGTTGTATGAGATTGCGTCTTTTATCCTGTACATAAATATATGTCTATGTGACGATCTTTTATTTGTATGTCCTCTGGTATCTGGTTTCACTTTCCATGCAGATCACTTTAATCGGAGTATGCAATATATACATGTATATATGCCTAGAACTTGAAACATTGTTGTCAGCGGCACGCGGCCAGAATTCAAGTTTCGGTGAGGCTTGTTCGCCTATTTGGCGGGTAAACTAGTTTAGAAGCTACTTAATCACTTGCATTGCCAATCTTTAGTTTTGCTAGTTCGGTGATTCGCGTTGGTCGAAGTGGTTGTTGCGCCTCGCAATGACGATAAGATCATTCAATTTGGTGGCAAAGGGTGAGCTCGTATTTGTGGTGCATTTGCCAAGTTCGCTGTCAAAGTCTTTTGTTTTTGCAGGTCCCAAATGGGGCATGCGCCACCTGCAGGTGCTGTTCCTTTTCATATGCGCCACTTTGACCGTGGCACAAAGGTTTAATATGAGCGTGGCCATTGTGGCTTTCACAAATGCCAACAGTAGTCACCCAAATTTCCCGGAATATCGGTTGACGGAGCAGCAGAAGTCGTATATCCTCAGCAGTCCCTTTTGGGGTTCCTGTTGCACCCAACTGATGAGTGGCTATCTCTCGAGTCGGTTTGGAGCCAAGATTCTGCTGCTGGCCATCATGTTTGTGACCGCTCTTCTCAGCATTGCCACGCCCTTCGTATTGGCTTGGGGCGGATGGCAACTGTTATTCTGGGTGCGAATAGTCCAGGGACTTGCGATGGGGGGCATGTGGCCCGGTCTGTACACCCATCTGGCCAAGTGGTGCCCCAAGATGGAGGCCAATCGCTTGGGCGGAGTGATGACCACGGGATTGGATTGCGGCACAATAATAGGATTCGCTTTGAGTGGCGCACTCTCTGCCTCGCCACTTGGCTGGCCCAGCTCCTTCTATGTGCCAGGTACGTTTAGTATCCCTAATCCTATCAATCCCAATTTCTTCATGAATTTAATAGTTGCTTCCTTTTAATAGTTTGTGAGGCTTGTTTTTTTAATACGCTTGCAGAGGGTATTATAGTTTCAGTCAAAAGTTTGCAACGCAGTGAAGGAGACATTTTTGACCCTATAAGTATTTATATTCTTGATCAGCATCAACAGGAGAGTCGATCTAGCCATGTCCGTCTGTTCGTCCGTCCGTTCGTCCGATTCTACGCAAACTAGCCCCTCAGTTTTAAAGCTATCTACTCAAAACTTTCAAAAAAAATTGACTTTCTATTGACTTTCGAGCCTTGTCAGGCAACTATATCATATAGCTCCCATAAGAACAATAACAAAGTAAGACTTTGTTGTTTTTAATTTTTGTATTTTCTTTGGGATCTCATAATTTTTAAATACTAAGGAATTACGGTTTTAAGTAAATTAAATATTATATTATAAGATCCCATAGGAAAATTAAAAAATTAAGAAACAGAAAAACTTAAAAAAAAATTTAATTTTGCAGTTTTTTCTATTTATTAATATATTCCTTTGAAATACAGTAATTATTTACTATATCAGAATTACTCTTTTAGTTTTGTCAAAATCGGACAACAATATCATATAACTGCCATAGAAATCGAAGTGTGAATATAGGATGTCCAAAATCTTATGGCTGTCTGCCCTCTTTTAAAAAAAATAAGTTGTACCCTTTTTTACAAAAACTTAACGATTCCGCACTTCACGAACTTTTTCTAAACGAGGCAAGCTGGGAAGTTTTGGTGGCAATAAAGCAAACAATAAACCCACTTTCTATTGTTAGTATCTTGACAATTATCTATTATCAATTGTTACATTGTATATTGAAGTGTAATTAAAAACCAAACAATAAAATAAACCATAACTGTAGTGTTAAGTTACTACTACGGGTTATTTCATAATATCCACTGAATGCTGGTTGACTTTAATTTATACTCCATAGTTGACTTTAAATACTCGTCATTTTCAACACAATACTATTTCGGTGATAAAACATTTGTTGCATGAAAAATGCATATAAACATTTCTAAACAATTAAAAGAACACTTACATTTCGATTTAATTTAGATTTTGGAAGTTAGTTAGTTAGTCGTTGAATGATTTGTATACCCTTGCAGAGGGTATTATAATTTTTGTCAAAAGTTTGCAACGCAGTGAGGAAGATGTTTTCGACCCTATTAAGTAAAGATATTCTTGAACAGCTTCGTGAGGAGTGTTGCTCTTGTCATGTCCTCCAGTTGATCTCTAATACCCTTTGTAAGATAAGGGTATATAAACATTGAATGCTGAGGTTTGCTTTTTGCTATATTTTAACTTCATGTATATTAATTTCAATACATAAAAATAAAAAAAAAAATTGTATTTTTAAATAACAAAATTTACCTTTTTTTGCTCAGACCTATATGCACTAAATTATTATACACTGTGCTTTTGTAAACATAATTTGCCACAATGCAGATGGTTCTCTGGTATTCTAACCTAATAATTTTTGAATTCTTTTTTTTAATCATAGTTAATGGATAAAACGCCTTATGCGAAAAACATTTTCAAAAAACGTAAATATTTTTATTTGTTTTTTTTTGCTGTTTACAAATTATGGTTTTCTCATTTTACTGTGACAATTAAAAAGAATACTAAACAAAAATTTATTTTTAAATTTAAAATTACGTAAATACCAGAGCTGAGGAATAAAAATGGAAGGTATAAACTATGATTTGAAAAGCCTAATTTATTATATTCCAATGTTAACCTAATTTAAGCGAGATACTTACCAATAATTATTTATAATCGCAGGATACTTGGGAATTGCATGGTGCCTTCTTTTTCTACGTTATGGGGCTAACTGCCCGTCCGAATCCAGATTTATTTCACTGGCGGAGCGAAAACACATTCAACTGGCTTTGGAGCAGAATCAGGTTGTTCGGAGTGAGATTCCTCCAGTGCCCTGGCTTCAAATACTCACCTCACGGCCGTTCATTGTGCTGGCCTTTTGCAAGATGAGCCAGGCATGCAGCTTCTATACGCTGATGCAACAGATTCCACGATATATCCACGGCATCTTCCACTACAGCATCGCGGTGAATGCCCTGCTCTCCGCTCTGCCCTTCGTGGTCATGCTAATGTCGTCGTACGGGTTTATTTTCCTGTCTGACTATTTGACCCGACATCGTGACATTTCCCTGCCCATCCTCCGGAAGACCATCAATTCATTTGCCACGTGGACTCCGGCTGTGTCCTTGGTGATTCTATCCTACCTCAGCGATCGAAACGTAGTGGGAAGTATGTGCTGCCTGGTGGCAGCAACAGCTGCCATTTCCGGACAGGCTATTGGTAGTTCCCTCAACCACGTGGACTTGTCGCCCAATTTCGCTGGACTCCTTTTTGGGATCAGCAACACATTGATGTCTGCGGCTGGAGTGATATCCCCCATCGTTATTGGACTAACGGTTACCAACGAGGTGGGTAATTATCATAAGTTCTTATATTTAAATAGTTAAGCAAAAGCAATATAATTGTACATGTTTATCTATTTACAAGTTTAGACTTAATATTCTGGTGCATAATATTTAGTTTTGATTTCAGTCGGATCGCACGCAGTGGCGTTCTGTTTTCCTTGGAATCTCTGTGATTTTGTTCCTGGGCAACTTGTTTTACGTGATCTTCGGTCAAATGACTGTCCAGTCATGGAATGATTCCCAATCCAAAAAGACCTCAACAGAAGCGATACCAAAAATAGAAGCGCCTTACAAGGCGCCCGAAGAAATGCTATCCTTCGAAAAATTTAATTATTTGTAAATGTATATTTTGAATAACGTATTTAGCAATTATGTTGTTGTATAAAATCAGATTAAAATCACAATGGTATATATGTCACGTCTCTCCTTCCGTATGGAAATCGGTACGACCGAAGTTTGTGTCCCGTAGATAGTAAACTGAGGAATCGTTTATCAGGGAGATCACGATGGATTTGAGCCCTAAAATAGAAGCCAACTTGTATTTGAGGATCACTGATTTAATCAGTTCCACCAGCTGAGCTAGCGACTTCTGCTGTTTATAATTCGTAGCATTACTTTCACAGTACAGCAAGTAACTAAAAAAAAATAATAATAATTATTAATTAGAAAGTTAAGTAAAATGCTTAACATTCTTACCCCTTGACTACCTGTTCAATCACATCGTCATTGATGCGTTGATGGCACAAATACTCCTGAAGATAGTTGGTTACCTGAAGTACTACAAATTGGGACAAGATGGCCTCACTCCAGTTAATGTCGTAGCCATAGGCTCGACTTAATATTAGTGCTTGTGGAACGCTGAAATTTGAACATTACAATTTAAGCCCAAATGATTAAAAGTATTTTATCAAGTCAGCTATTCGAAATGATATACCTCAGATGGGTGTTGACCAGTTCCCGAAACTGTTCCCTTGACCGCACTCCAATGACGCTCACACACATTTGCCGCTTTTCCAGAGCCTTGTTAAAGAGATCCAACTGCATGGCCATCAGCTCCGCCCGGGAAACACTATGCTGGGCCAGCAGAAGCTTGTTGTCCAACAGATAGTTCTCCGTAGCATGTGTGTAATTTTCCAACGCCTGCTGCAGTAGTGCTTGAACCTCCGGAGAGCACTTCAGCTTGTTGGTCTGCTCGGCAATGGTTTGAATCTTGTTTACTAACTCCTGGGCTTCCTCTGTCCACATCTCCGCCAACTCTTTGTACATGAGGAAGTGCAGGGCCGCCAGTCGCAGCAACTCCTTTCCATTCTTTGGTTGATATTCCCTTAGGTAGCTAAGGATTGCCTGACGAAGTCCGCCTTTCTGATCCTCGTCGAACTGCCCCAACAAAGACTCGAACTGCTCGTTCTCAATCAGTGAATCAAAGCAATAGAACATCTCGCGGTAACGTGCTATTCCAATCAGCATCCGGACAATCAGTGACCAGGATTTCGCTTGGGCCAGTTGACCGTTAAGGACTTTCGCTTTCTGGAGGACGCTCACAATACCTTCCATGGAGCACTCGTGAACAAAACACAGATGCGCCTTGATCAAGAGCTCCACATAAATTTGATTCAGCTTCTTGTGCGACAGCACCTGGGGAATTCCTGATAATGTTCCCGTAGGAGAGGGCGTTGGCAATCCATAGAGTGTAATAATCTTGGACAGATTATCGAAGGCTTCAGTTTTCTCAAAAACCTTGCCCACCTGGTAGCGACGATAGGCCTTCAAGGCATCACAGTACTCAAGCAGACAATTACCCAGCATGGTTGAATTGGGAGCCAGATCAAGGAACAAGTGGAAATCCTTATCGATGCTGTGGCCCCAGAGATCAGCATTCTTCAAAGCGCTTCTTGGCTGCTCCCTGGCATGAAAGATGTAGAACCGGGGTCGTAAGATGCATGTGGTCAGCTCTATGGCCAAGCACTCGGCAATCTGTAAGAAATGAAATGAAATTTAATCCCTACAATCGGACACAAAAGGATTAAAGAGACTCACTTCTTCAGGCGTCATCCGCGTGGAAATTTGTATATCACTGACCACCAACAGACGCTGCAGGCAATCCTCAGCAGCGGCACTCTTCAAAAGAATACTGGCATCCTTGGTGCGCAGCACATCCAAATACTCCTTGTCCAGATACATGGCAGCCCTATAGGCAAGAACAATTCGCCTGCCGAGCTCCACGCCAAACTTCAACTTCGATCCAATGCCCAGCAATGTGTCCAGCGTTTGCTGCTTTTCCTTAGAAGGAATCTCTTCGAACTCCATCGCCACACTATCCGAGCAGCTATCGGAAAGATCACTATCGCAACGATTCATTACATTTTGATTTAGAGTGATTCGATTGAACTTTGGAAACGCACTCTTCTCAATTTCGCCGAGCAGCTGGCGTTCCTTGCTCGACAGATTACTAATGCTGGTCATGCCTTCGGCCAATGCCATTGCAAATACAATGAAGCGTAGGTCATTCGGTCGGAATTCAAAAAGCTCTTGAAGCCGAAGTGCCTCCACAATGTCGCCCTCGTCCAAAAGCGTGTTTAGTAAAGTATTCAGTCTGGTTTCCATCTCCGAGGTTAGCTTTGTTTTATCAGCTATGCTGAGGTCATCAATCCCGGCTAGTTCCTTGAGTTCCGAGAAGGATTTATAGAGCACACAGCGCTCTTGAAGCATGATTTGCTCATAGTACTCCGAGTGGTAAATGGTTAGCAGAGAGAGCTGATCCTCCGGCAGCTGCAGGTAGCACAAAACCATATCGTACTCAATCTGATCGCGATCAAAGGATTCGTTAGGGAACAGGTGGTGTTGCTTAATCACGCCCAGTGTGCTCTGAAGCAGTTCATATCGGCGGAGGCCCACTTGGCCAACGGAGGAGGCTGCCTGTAGCAGGAAGCTCACCAGAATGGCGGGTGCCAAGGCATGCTGTTGGATCTCTTTCTCATACTCCTGGTGGGGTCTTATTTCTCCGGCCTCCAGCTCAGCCATCCATTTTCCATAAACAATATCACCCAATGGCAGCTGCAGCAAGGTGGCCAATTGGAGAGCTTCCTCATAAGCTCGTGCCTCAGTTAGGGCATCAACCAGTCGTCTGTACTCCGAGCTATCCCTCCTCACCAGCTGCTCCAGATCAATGCTCAGTTTCCGCAGCCAGGTGGCTGCTACTCCGAAAACTTTATGTAGAAGACAGAAATCCGGCAGTTCACATATATCACCCACATCCGAGCGACAGATGCAGTCGAGAAATCGCTGCTGCAGCAAAATGCAGTCAAAATTGGACTGTAGTTGGATGAGCAGAAGGCTGATAGAGCGATGCAACACTTGTTGGCGAGGTAGGCTTCCACAAAGGGGCAGAGTTACTGAGTCCTGGCTCCAGCTGAAAAAGAACTGACGTAGTTCCACAATCGTGGCGTCGCTAAAATCCTCCTGGTGTGCTGTCAGCTGAAGGAAGCGACACAGATGCGTGAATTTGCAATCCTGAAAAAAAGTTTTTTTAACAAAAGAGTTATTTTTACAATTAGTTGTACTCACCGGCTGGAAAATTTCTAAGCTGTGTAGAAGTGCATTTACATGTCCACCTGCGACAGCTTCTCGGATAAGAGACCACACCCACTCCGATCGATTATCTTCGCGTACCTTAGAAGCCTCCTGCAGCTGGTGGCTCCACTGACCACTGGCCACCGAGAGCCAAACTAGCCAACACCAATCTCGGTTCTGTTCGCTAAGTGTGGCTGCCAGCACAGCCAGGACAGGCAGCTCCTGCCGGATGCAGTGTCTTAAGAGATTGATACTGCTGCAGTACGGAGTATTCCCAACCATCATCTCCAGAAACTTTGCTGTGGTCGGAATAATCTCGTCTGGCTGTCTATTGGTGCTGCACAGTATGATGGCAAAGATATCCTGTCGAGTGGTGTGGGTTAGCAAAGTGCACAGGGACTGATCCGTGTTCCTCTGAAGTTGCTGCAAACTGGAATCTTGATTTGAACTGTGGGAAGAGTTGGTCATCGTTTCTTGCGACGAGTTTGTTTGGGTTTCCCCACTACGACGGGGCGGTCTTTGGAAGCTCCTTTTATGATGGCGATCGCCAGAGGATTCATAGCTTAATGCGCGCAGCAGATGGACACCGAGTGGCGAGGACTTGAAATGCGGCAACAGCTTCTTTAGCTCACTTAATGGAAGATCGAAGTACTGGAAGATGAGCAGCAAGTGCCACCAGTCATTTTTAGAGGCGTAGTGTTCAAGCAAAGCCACTGGAAGTTTTCCAGGAGTATCCCTAACAGCCAGGCGCATTAGGGATTGATATAGTTCCAAAGGAAATTCCGTGGGATTAACCTCTAGTTGCTGGACCAAATCCCGATCCCAACCAGCCAGCAATTCCGAGTAACTTTCTCCACTCTGGCGCTTTGGTAGCTTCCGCTGCAGCAGGAGGAAGCTCCTCAGTGGCTGAGTATCGAAGCCCAGCATTTCACAGCAGGCCACGCAATGGGTTACCAGCTCTTCATCGCTAGCGTGCTGTAATGCCATCTGGGTGACCGTCTCACAGGCGTGGAAAAGCTGCGTCTTCGTGATCTGGCCATAAAGCTGAAGTTGCTCTGTGATTAGGTAATAAACTGCATAGGCGCTCCTCTGCTGCTTCAGGTAGTGGGTGTAATTCAGCTGAGATTTCCTGGCATAACGCTGGCACAGACGCGCATTTGAGAAGCTAATTGGCTCACCATGTCCAACGGAGGCCAGGAGCGGCAGATTCACCTGCTTAAACTTCAGAAAGAGATCTTGAGCAGTGGGCAGGCCGGAACTGCTGCTCGTCGGTCCGTGGTCGAAACGAGCTGTCAGCGATTTAAGATAGGGCACCCGACCCAAGCTGGTGCTAGTGAGAAATCCTTCCAGGGAGCGCACACTTGGCTCCTGACCCAAAAAGTCGTAGAAGGTGAGCAAGGGGTGGCCTTCAAATGAGTCGGCGGAATCGTGAGTTTTCTCCAAGTATGCCTGAACGCTCTTGGAAATCTAAATAAAATAAAAAATGAATTACAAATACGGATATAATTATTTTAAATACATTGATCAAATTTTAAATATTTAAATATTGTTTGCATTATTTTTTCAACAAAATTCATTTGATTATCTAAACGTCATTTTATGCTCAAGTCAATAACAATAAAAGTATTAAATTATTAAGTTAGTTATTACACACAATAACAAATTACTAATCTGTAAATACTATTTAATTATTATTGACTAAGTGAATTACGAATAATACTAGTATTACTAGTATAAGCTGAAGTCTTATATCCTGACTTACCAACTCGAATCCCTCGTTCTCGGTTAAGGAATTTGTTTTCAGATCGACGATTAGGTTGATCAGGGCTTCCTGATGGGTCTCACTGCTTGCCAACTGCTCCAACGAGGCAACTGGGACGCAGTCCATAAGGAGCAGTGAGTGATGACCACGATCTAGCAGATATTTGGCCAGGGGCTGGCGGCTGAGGAGATCCGCATGCTTGCCCAGACACTCCATTGTGCAAAGACGACGCAGCAGAGTGGGAATATCGCCGGATTCATCCTTGAAAAAGTAGCCCGCGCGGGCGAAGAAGTTTCGCAGCACTTCGCTGGGCTGCTTCAGTTGCTCCAGGGCGTATTCGTACATGTTGTCATCTATTTTCCAGGCGGCAAAACCCTGTTCTAAGGGAGAGAGCGTTTCCTGGGCTTCCACACCCAGTTCCTGGCAACGGCACCAGCGTTGAAGCTTTGTCTGTTGATTGCTATCCACCAGGTGCTGCCAGACCAGTTCCTTGGAGAGAGAACCCAGCAGAGATTCATTGCCATTGGCGAAGTATAGTTCTACGAGCAGCAACTGCAGTGCCTCCTCGGGTAGGGTCATCAAGGCTTCTATGTGGACACGGGGCAGCTGCACCTGATGCTTGGCTACAAGGGCACCACACTCCCGGAGTTGCTGGACCAAGGACCAGTGATACGCCAGCACTGGCTCCTCCTGCTCGTACATCAATGGCTCCCGGTTGCGCAGGTGATCCAGGACAAACTCACTCAATTCCTCGTCCTGGCACTCGCAGGCGAACTGGAAGAAGAAGCACTTCACATCCCGGTCCACATTACGGATCACGTCCTCCGCCTTGCAGACGAGTCTCTCAGAGAGCAGGCGCTGCACATAAGCCTGCACCACGTCGTAGAAGTAGTGGCGGTACTCTGGGATGGGGATCTTTCGCTTCTTCGCCCAGTACTCCAAGCACAGGTCGATGTGCTCGCCCTTGGTGGCCACCTCCTTGATAATGGTCACCTCACTGATCCCCGACCAGCTCTTGAAGATCTTGTCGCGGGCCTGAGCCTGCGCCTGGGCGGAATGCATCGTGTTGGGCGGAGTTTTTGGAATGTTCTGCGGGCCTTTTCACATCCCTTTGTTTCGCCTCCGAATGAGAACAATACAATACAGTGCAATGCAATCAACAGTTGATAATAGGAAAACAGCTGAATCTGCTTCCTCTTCCCCGGAACCTTATCTGTGGTTAAACTAGTTCCACATACAGTGAACGTTGGCACTAATGAACCACCTTGCAGTTCCTTAATTCCCTACTTAAATTCGTCACTCATCAGTCTGACAATTGTGGTGATGATTTGCGATGAATTTTCCTCGATATTCTCCTATGGCCATATTTAAATTCATCACTATGTGCTGGCAAATTCATCAATTAATCATCATTAGAGATAAAAAGTGATGAGCGGTACTTTACGAATTCCGATTTGTATTTTTATACATGCATAATAAACCTAAAAATAAAGTTTCTAAAACATTTAAATTAAAAATAAGCTCGGAAATCTAATCAAAAAATGTTTTGGATTAAGTAAATTAGGCATTAATAATCAATCAAATAAAACTTATGATTTTCGGTTACCAAACAAAAGGGATAAAAAGTCAAAGGTACAAGTATACTTAAAATAATAAAATAAACTAAAAATGGACTTTAGGTCCGCATGTATATGTATTATCTCTCTGAGCCATTCGAAAGCTTATCCACCTGAAAAATGTAATATTTTTTCTTAAGTACATACCAGCGCCTAAAATTTTAGAGAACTTTTAGAGTTTTATTTTAGATGAAGGAGTACAAAATGAGTAATATCAATTGCATTTAGCGGTATACAAAAATGTAGTTTGTGTGCGCAGTAGAGTTCCGTTTAGATATGTACATAAGTAAACTTAGTAAAACTAATTAGATGTGAGGAGCATTTACGAAAACGCGTACCCCCTAGATGTGTGTTTGCTTATGTCTACAAAGGAATCCTCTTGCAGGGATCGGATTACTCCGTGGCCGCCATGGAGCGGGCCTGTGCGCGAACACGTTTCTCGTACTCCAGGCGGTTCTGGCAGTAGATGGTGTAGGCCTCCGCCTGGGCCGGGTCCTTGATGTTCGGCTCGTTAAGCAGGTCCTGAATGCCCAGCAGGATTTGCTTGATGGTGATGGCCGGGCGCCAGTCCTTCTCCTCGTCGAGCAGCGACAGGCAGACAGTGCCCGAGGGATAAACGTTCGGGTGGAACAGCGGCGGCTCGAACTTGCACTTGGGCGGCGAGGTGGGGTAGTCGTCCTTGAATATCATGCGCAGCTTGTAAAGGCCGCCCTCCCAAGGGGTGGACTTCTTGCCGGGAATGCCGCATTCCCAGATCATCAGGTTGAGGGTGCCGTCTGTGTTTTTGGCGGGACGGGCGACGAATCCGAAGGGATGATCCTTGCGCCAAGCTTTTCGCTCCTCTCCCAACCGCGTGACTGCAATGCCAGACATGTTCAGAACTTCGGTGTCTCAACTTCCGTTTAGTGTGTATCCTAAAATGCTGCTTTATTTGCAATTTCACTCTTTAGTCCCCTCGTTTTCCTTTCCGATGCTGTTTGCACTTGAACAAAAATGCCTACTTTCAGTTATTTGATGGCGTTTTTACCGTTCTTTGCAAATTCTCTCTTGTGCTCGCCAAAGGTCAGAACTGCAGTTATGCATCAGCTGTTTTTGTTTTGAGTGTGAAACGAAGGCCTAAATGAAATCAAAGATCGTCTTAAAATCAGTCAAAGTATATGTACAAATATGATTTACTTTTGTTATTTGCGTTGGAACATCATGCAGAAATTATGGTGAAATTTATGGGCTCTTTTCTATGACTTATAACTTTTCCCGCCTTTTTTTCGATTTTCTTAGAACAGCTGTTTTTTTGCGCTAGTGCTGCACAATATGAAAAAATGGCAAAAATAATCGAATATTACCAAAATATCGAGTCCTCGACGACATTTGCTGTTATCACGCCACTGGGGCTCTAGTTATATTAAAAATATAATTTTTGCCGAGAGCTTCATAGGGATTCCATTGTAAATGCACGTAGCATTTTTTGGGAGATAGAGAAACTGTTTGGGGTTTGAACACTCTATAAGACCGACCAGTAGTGCCAACTTGGTTTTTTACATGCTTCCAAGTGGACATGGATTCGGAATATTTCTGTTAGCAACATTGCTTGGTTTGAGCCACTGCTAGATTTCTATCCAAGTTCTTCTCCATTCCATACATATTCTTGGTAATATTTAGGTATTGTTTTCGATATTTCGTGGTATATTTTGACGGTAGACCGGCGGTCACACCGTATTTCCCTCCTTTTCGTTTTCGTTTCCGGCGAAGTAAGTAGAAAAAATCTCCACGTTTTTCTTTTTGCTAATAATTCAATCATCTCATTGGCCAACTAGCGAATAATCTTGGAATAACCAGCCCGCGAGCAGAAAAATGTCGAAGAGAGGTAAAAATCCGATTGAAGTGTGCGGTTAAAGCGTGAAATTGCGAGCATGTGACGCCGCCGTGTGTGTGGAGAATGCCGAAGTGCCCAAACTAATTCTCTGTGTTTCCGCTTAATATAGGACGTGGAGGTACCGCGGGAGGCAAGTTCCGCATCTCCCTCGGTTTGCCCGTGGGCGCCGTGATGAACTGTGCCGACAACACCGGAGCCAAGAACCTGTACGTGATCGCCGTGCACGGAATCCGTGGTCGTCTGAACCGTCTGCCCGCCGCTGGCGTCGGTGACATGTTCGTGGCCACCGTGAAGAAGGGAAAGCCCGAGCTCAGGAAGAAGGTGAGTGTGCTTCCGGGGATTTCAAATGGGCAGTTCTATTTCATTCCCTGCTTTTGCTGGTTACCCCCCTCATTTAACAACCTGCTGCTCCCAGTGAACACGTTTTTTTCCTTACTTTGTTTTTGTACGAATTCTTTGAATGAAGTGTTTGTGAAAGAATTAATTATATTTATATTGGCTTTGTAAGCCAACCTAGTTCAGTAATACTTTAAATCACGGGTTTCTCTGGAATTGATTAATTTGTTCTTTATATTACATTTATTGTATTGTGTTTTTGTTTTCCTACAATATAAAATTTGCAGTAAAAATTTCATAGAATTATAAAAATGCATTCATTCATTAAACTTTACCAATACTTCTCTAATATGAAATGCCGGCAAAGATAACATATCGCTTTAGAGCACGTTTTTTCGATTGGTTTTTGTAAAATTTCTTCGACGCAAACTAAACCCTCAATTGTTTATTTTAATGATCATTATTAAGATTATTTAAAATAGGCTAAGTATATATTTAATTTGTTTGCCTAGTACTCGAATAACATATTTCCTCTATTTGTTATATTAACATTTTACGTTCGTCGGTTTTAAACTAAATTTTATTGTTCTTGTTCTTGTTTAGTGTAAATTTACCTGTCTGAAAGTTTAGCTTAAAACCTTTTCTTAGCTTTGATCAAAAATCGTAGGAAAAGAAAATGTCTACTAACGTAAAATAGCAATTATATCCATTGAAGTCTTAAATTAAAGACTTAAAATATGAGTTGATCAAATTAAGAGTATAGTTTATTTAAAACACTACTTTGTCAATATCAGATCTTTCAACTTATCAACGCCTTTCAAATTTCCTGAACCAGTACTTCCCAAATAATATTTTATAAATTCCACTGAAACTTTACTTATTTTACTAATTGTTTCCTTTACATATTTCCAGGTTATGCCGGCCGTGGTGATTAGGCAGCGCAAACCGTTCAGGAGGAGGGACGGGGTGTTTATATACTTCGAAGACAATGCCGGGGTAATAGTGAACAACAAGGGCGAAATGAAGGGCTCGGCCATCACTGGACCCGTGGCCAAGGAATGCGCTGATCTGTGGCCCCGTATCGCATCCAATGCAAGCTCTATAGCCTAAGGAGTTTCCTTTTCAAATAAACCCACAACGGAAAACAGATTGTTTTGAATTAGAATTGTCGGATCTTTTATTGAATGCTGCCCTGCTTCGGTACCGGAGGATCGTCTCTAGGCCTTGGGTGCCTCGGTGCGCAGAGTGGGCTTGGGTCGAGTCACCTCCATCGATATCTTGCCGTTGGCTCCCTTGAACAAGGCATAGCACACCTGGAACGGGAGGCCCTCCAGGGCATCGCCATTGAATTTGGTAATGATATCTCCGCGCTGAAGTTTGTTGTCGATCTCTGGGTACTGGCCTTGTATCTGCGGATGGAAATGTATTTCAGAGATGCACCTTTCTCTGAAAGTCTATGTTATAAACGTACTACTTCTGCGATGGTGCATCCAAGTTCGTTGGGTGAAAGGGAGAGACCCAGCTCCTTGCCCGGCTTCTTCATGAAGTCCACATTAAACTTTTCCAGTTCCGGCGGATCGGCTCGATAGACTGTTAAGTTGACCGTCTTTTCGTACGTGGTGTGGAATAGCTGATGGACCTTTAATGTCGTCATGGTTCCCACGTGGGTTGCTGTACCATTCACATCGCAAATGTGGTCAAAGATCTTCAGGCGCTTGTCAGCAGCCACGACGCCTTCGGGATAAATGTGTGTGATCACACAGCCAGTCTGCCAGGAGAGATTTATGGTATTATTTGTACTTTAACTAGCTGGAGATCGCCCACCGTGACATGGTTGTTCTTGCCGCCGCAGACAATGACGCCAAGCGGCTTCTTCTCCACCTTCAACTCGATGAGTATCTTCTTGTTGGGCTTGATTTCGGCTGTGGCGGGCTCCTGTGGCTTCTCCTCCTCTTTCTTGGCCTCTGTGGGTTATTAGGTTCAAAGTGGTTGGCTGATGAACGTGTTTAATTCAAAGCTTACCCTCCTTCTTTTTCTCCTCCGCCTCCTTGTCCGCTTTTATGGACTCCTCACTCTTGAGAGTCAATAGAATCATAGTCACAACGCCCTCAGCACGTTTTAGCAGTCCAGTTGCCTAAGGTCAAGAAGAAATGGCTTGCAAACAAATCGTCTGGTTCGTTTTTGTTAATAGTCACATCATCATAGTTCGATTCCAGGGTAACATCTTGATTCACGGCCAGCAACATATCACCCACTTTCACGCCCGCCAACTCGGCATTCGATCCCTCCCTCAGATCCGAGATGAAGATGCCGTTGCCCACTTCGGCGTGCTTTCCATAGATTACCATGATTCCTAGGAAACCCTCCTTGCGCACTTGCACTGTGCGCGCCTTCGGGAACTGGTCGAAGATGAACTTGGTCTGTCAAAAGATAGAGAACACATGATCGTATTTTAACTTTTAGGTCACCCTTGTTCTAAAAGACTCATAAGTTAGGAACATATCAATAGTATTCCAATTAGAATATTAACTTATGTAGTGATCATCCCTTTCATTGATATTTATTTTTGTGATTTTTATTTTCTTAATAAATGTTAAACAAAAAGAGTCTATGCTCTAACCCTTAAGAAAACTTGTTATGACCCTAATAAAATGGATCAATCTTATCAATGAGTAATATATTGCTTGGGATGTCTTCTGTAGCTAGTTTAGTTCCATTTACTTGTGACTAAATTGTTTTGTTATCGCTCTTAAAATAAGTTCTACGAATTATTTAGCTGAAATTGCTCTATTTATATTTTGTTAAGGAACAAATTTAGATTTTGTGCAGTAAAAAAACAAATTGTTTACTATTGAACATTAAGTTGCAATAACATACCTCATCAGATGAGGAGGGGAACTTCTTGATGGGCTTTACGCACATGCCCTCATCGTTGGGTTTGCGCCGCGAGGTGATCAGTACCAGCTTATCTCCATCCACATTCTTGAACACAGCAGAGGCGTTCAAGTGGCAGCGATTCTTCAGCACGTTGCCGTTGACCTCGACGATCTCGTCACCCGGTTTGACATCCACACTGGCCAACACTCCATTTGGATCCACACCGGCTACAAAGCAGGCCATCTTCTGGCGGTCCTTGTGCCCAGCGAGAGCGATTCCTAAAGGCTTGCTGGCGTCCCTCTGGACCTCGATCCTTCGGAGGTCCTTCATCATGTTGTACCGCTTATTGATCTTAGCTGCGATGGGTTCCAGAGCTGTGATTAAGATTTAATGGCTGGGGGGACCCTTACCCATCGTGTAGCCAAAGTCATCCTCCTGTTCCTTGTCCCGATCCTTCTCCTGCTTGTTGAGCTTGCAGTTACCAGCCGAGGCGCGATCAATCTTAAAGGGGTGATTTAAAAACACGGATATTTGAAAACCTTTGCGGCCAAAGTATCAGCGTTTACCCACCTCAAAGCCCGACTCCGTGCGAATGCGACCGGTCATGTCTCGGGTGTCCTCGTCATCCTCATCAGCGTAGTTACTATGTTTTTGTCGCATTGAGGCCGTGAATGTGGTGTTTCGTTTCTGCATCGTTTGCTGCCGGTTCATGCCACCCGTTCCTTGGCCCATTCCCTGGCCCTGACCCTGACCTTGACCCATTCCCATTCCCTGACCTCCGCCGGCATTGTTGTTGGGGGTCTGCTCCTGGTTGAACTTGTTTTTGGCCTGCATGTAGCCATTGCTTCGCGGATCTGCCTTTGCCTGTTGCTCATCGCTCTTGTCGAAGGTCTGAATCTCCAGGTCGATCTTGAAGTCGGCCTCCTTGATGAGATCGATGACCGCCTGTTCGGTTGAGTTACGGACATCCTTTCCATTAAGCGAGAGGATACGATCGCCCACCTTTAAGCGACCACACAGGTGCGCCGGACTTTCGGGCACAATGCCCTTGATGAAAATACCGGTGGTCTTTGTGTTCGGCGAATCCTTAACCTCACCTCGCACTATGCAAATGCCAAAGGACTTTTTGCCCGTCTTGTCCAGGGTCACCATGTGAATAAGCTCTGCGAAAAGTTTATATTTTAAAGAAATCAGAATTATGGAGGCTATGTAGTATATTT